AACGCCCCGCCCGCCACTCCAGCCGTCGCCCCTCCGCTGCCCGCCATGCCACCGCCCGCCATGCCGCCGCCTTGCATGCCGGCAGCCGCCCCCATCCCTCCGCCCATCCCTCCGCCCATCCCTCCGCCCATCCCTCCGCCCATCCCTCCGCCCATCCCTCCGCCCATCCCTCCGCCCATCCCTCCGCCCATCACCGGCATGCAGGCGCCGCCGCCCACGCCCGCTTCCGCCTACAGGCGCGTCGTGGACGTGTTGTGGACATGTCGTGGGCACGCCATGGACGTATCGGTAGCGACGTGTGTGCGAGTGTCGTGGGCGTGTCGTGGGCGTGTCATGGAGATGGGAGGGCGTGGTGGGAAGAGGCATGGGCGCGGCGGTCAGTGCGGCGGCACAGGGGCGTGCGACGCCTTGCCGGAGCGGGGGCGGGGGCAGGGGGTGCGAGAGGGGCGTGGCAGGGTGTCGGGCGCGGGTGCGGCAAAGTCTCGATCGTGTGTCGGACGTGTCTCGGAAGTGCCGGCCGCCTTCTTCTTGCCAAAGAGGCTGTCAATGGGATTGACGGCGGTGGCCTGCAGCTTGAGCCCGTCCGCCGTAGACGCCGCCCCGCCGCCCCCCGCCGCAGCGCCCATTCCCATCCCGTACCCGGCTGGCGACGCGCCCATGCCGGGCATGCCCTGGCCGTAGCCCTGCTGCGGCGGCTGCTGCTGCTGCTGGCCATACGCCTGCTGCGGGTACTGCCCCGGCGGGTGCTGCTGGTACCCGTACGGCTGCTGCGCGTAGCCCTGCTGCCCGTAGCCCTGCTGCTGCCCGTAGCCACCGTACTGCTGTTGGCCATATGCCTGCTGCTGCGTGTACTGCTGCTGCGCGTAGCCTTGCTGCTGCTGCTGCTGCTGCTGCTGCTGGCCGTACTGCTGGGGCTGCTGCTGGCCGTATAGCTGCTGGGGCTGCTGCTGGCCGTAACCGTGTTGGCCCTGCCACATGAGCGGGGATTCGCTGAGGCGTGCAGGCGCCGCGGCGGTCTTGCTGGCGCTGAATTTCTTTTTTTGAGCTAGACTTCGTTGTTAATAGGAACAAGCGAAGGCACACACGACATGACGCCAAACACACGATTGCACGCACCGCACCGCACCTCGCACCCGCGCCCGCCGCCCCGCCAACCAATTTCTTTTGAGCTTAGCGCAGGATCGCTCTCTCACAGTTTGGCCTGTACGAGGGTTTCCGGCAACCCAGAGGGAAACCAGAGGGTCCCCAGCACTTTGCGTTTCCGGAAGTTTCCAGGGAAACCAGAGGGTGTTTGGTGCTCCATTCTGTTTTATGATGTATCTTATTCGCGAGCTTGACCGTCTCCCCGGTGGCCGCCCACAGGTGGCTGATCGAAGCGCCACTCATCGCTGCTTTCGCGCGCCTGGCTCTCAGAGGGCTCCTGCGGCTCTCCCTCGTCGCGTGACCGCCGCCGACATCATGTGCTCGGTCGTCCCCGCCGGCGCGGAGCTGCGCCACGTCGAATTCTTCGGTGGCTCGACCGCCGGCGCGCCCACCCTCGCCTCCTGCGCGCCTCACACCCAGTATTCACCTCGCGCGCGGCCGACAAAGTGAGCTCACGACCACCTCCCCCTCGCTCCTGTAGGTGGGCCGCCCCGCGCTGGCGGGAAGAGGCGCGCCGAGCCATCGGTGACGTCCTGGCGAGCTCATGTCCCCCCAAAAGGTCGCACCCGCCCGTGGCTCCGCCGTCGGCTCCGCCGCGAGCGGCGACGGTGAGGCCGCCGGGGCTCGCCTATACCGGCTAGTGTGGAGCCCTCAGTGTAGTTGCGTGTTGTACTAGTGGTGCTGCACTAGGCGGCCCGTTTTTAGCAAAAACCAGATACCACATCGCGTGTGGTCGTCGCAAAACCGCATCTTCGCCCGTCTGGGACCTCTTCGTACGGCTCCAAAAACCGCTCCTTAACGACGGCTACGCGGCCCGGCGGTCGATCTGCGCCTTCTCAGCGGTGGAGGGGATGTGGGCGGTACGTGCGTACCGCGTGGTGTTGCGACAGTTTGACGAGTGCGACTCCCAGCGTCGACTTTTCGACCCCACGGAGCCTCTGCTGCTCCGGGCGACTTCGAGACGTTCGGCGGCTTCGGGGACGGCGTCCGCAGAATTCTTCGGCAGGCGGCGGACCAGCTGAGTAACAAACTTTCGCACGCTCAGCACCTCGATGAGGTCACATGGACCACCAAGAACTGGCACGGGCTGCAGATGCAGCGCTTGTCTGTCGTTCTCCACACCGCCGTGGCGTGGCAGACGGTGAACGAGCTAGCGTGCGGGGACAGCGGCATTGTGCACGGAGCTAAGTGCATTGCCGTTCTTAACGGAGTCGCTTAGGCGGCTCCGGTGGTGTGCCGGTGATAGTACTAGCACGCGCCAGTTCGCACCTGTGTCGAGCCTGTCTGCTGTGAGGGAGAGTTGTTTTGTTTAAACTCTTATTCACGCACTCGAGTAGACCCAGGCGCCCTCCCCGAACGGCGGCGCACCTCTCTGGCCCGCTCGCATCACGCTACATCCCACATGCCGAGCGAGCCAGGCACCCGTCCGACAGCGCCACGTCGGCTCGACCCAAATCGGCCCACCCCTCTGTGCCGCCACTTTCGGAAGGGACTCTGCCTTTACGGAACTCGCTGCGCCTTCTCGCACTCTGAGCCGCCGCCGCCGCCACCGCCGCCGCCGCCGCCGCCATCTGCCGACCTCGTCGAGGCTCAGGCGCGCTACTCGGTTCTACGCGACCGCTGCAAGTCGCTCGCCGCCTCCGGCGCGCCGCGCGAGCATCTCCTCGCTGCGGCTGCGGCGCTTCGGGAGCAGGGAGAGGCCGTGCGGGCTTTGCGGCCTGCCAAGTCCGCCTCGCGCTTCACGGAGCGGCCGCGGGTGCGGAACAAGGAGCGCGCGGGCGCGCTGCGCCGCTTCCTGATCGACACCTACGGCCTCGAGGCGCTGGCGTCGGGAGCAGGCCCGCTCGACAGCCACTGCCAGGCCGGCCGCCCCTCCGGGACACGGCCATGACACGTCGGTGGCATGGTCTGCAGGCGTGCTCGACGTGGCAGGGGGGCAGGCGCCGCCGCCCGCGAGAATTTAAAGCGAGAATGCCGCGAGAGACTTCTGAGAAGCCGCCACGCGCTTCCGGGACATTTGTGAGACTCTTGCGAGACTCTTCCGAGACTCTTCGGAGGCACCTCCGAGGCACCTCCGAAGCACCTCCGAGGCACCTCCGAGGCACCTCCGTCCCCCTCGCCCCCTTGACTGAAGCGACCAGTCGAGGAGTGAGTGGGTCGGGATGAGAGGGTAGGGCGCTCTCGGCTCTAAGCTGCACACACACACCCAGGGCCTTAGGCGTTACTCAATTAACGAAATCGCGAATGGATTACGAAGACGTCGGTATAGGGCGCCCTCGGCTTCGAGCTTCTCAACTTAAACCGCGTGCCGGTGAGCGCGGTGCAGCCCCCCTGTAGTACGGAGTGACTTGTGAGTAGGGATGGACGAGAGATTGCTCAAGTTGACCCGAGATGACGGCGAGATCAGCCGAGATCAGCCGAGATCAGCCGAGATCAGCCGAGGTTCATTGACTCGTCAGGTGACCGTGGTGGACCCGCGCGAGATGACGGCGAGGAGGCTGGGGCGGAAGTGGGAGCGAGGGCTCTACTTCCGCACCGAGCCGCTGCAGGCGCCGCATCGCTAATTAATTAATTAAGTAACTACTTAGGTTAGTTAATTAATTACCGCCGCATCGCTAACTCGTTATGCACGAGCTAATGACCACGAGTCGGCGAACTTCGGCTAACCTCGGCTCATCTCAGCTCATCTCGGCTCATCTCGACATATCTCGGCTAGGAAGTGTCTAGGAAGTGTCTGGGAAGTGTCTAGGAAGTGTCTTGCTAGGCGTACAACCGCCCGGCCGCTCGCCGAGGGCTCGACGGGGGTGGCGGCGGTGGTGGCGGTGGCGGTTGCGGCGGCGGTGGTGATGGCCGCGAGGGCGGTGGCGGCGGCGGAGAGGGCGGTGGCGGTGGCGGAGGTGGCGGCGATGGCGGTGGCGGCGGCAAGCTGCCTTCGGACATTGAGGTGTGGGCGGCGGCGCCGCATGCCGCTGGGCCGTGGGCTGTGCGCCTCTCTTCACAGCAGGCGGCTGTGAACAGGCGAGGGTAGTGGCACGCTTAGTGACGAGTTAACCGATTCGCCTGACGCACTTCGTTAATTCATTGCCAGGCGAGGGTAGTGGCCCGCAGTCTTCGGTGCGAGTGGGCGGCAGCGGCAGCATCCGGGCCGTACCAGCTGCCCAGGCACGGGAGAGCGCGAGAGGTCCCCCGAGAGTACATGTAGTTAATGAAGGAGCGGTTGGCCAGGCACCGGCCTCGCCTGCTAATTAATCGATTACGACCTTCGTACTCCGGTAATGAACGCGCCAGGCACCGGATTGCCATTCCTTTCTCTGGAGGGAGGAGTAACTAATGATGAAGGCACTGGCCCTGCTTGTTAATCGATCAATCACTCACTCAATCAACCAATGAATGCGCCAGGCACTGGCCGTGCCTGTTTGTGGCCTCGCTGTGGGAGGGGCTGCTTCCCTTCTTGGCCGAGCCAAGCCCCTGCGGCGAGGGGCCGGTGGGGGGGGAGGCGGCGGCGGCGGAGGCGGCGGCGGCGGTGGCGGCGCGCTTGTGCGACGAGGCGCCGTTCACAGCTGCAGCACGGAGGGGAGGGGTGTAACGGCGTCTCTTCACAGCGCGCGCTGTGTGAACAGGCGTCCTCGCTGCGGTGGACCGACAAGGGGCTGGTGGCGGTGGGGGAGGGGGAGGAGGAGGAGGAGAGAGGCGAGGCGGCGGGGGTGGGCCCTCATAGCGGCCAGCCGGGTGCGGCCGAGGTGCGGTCGGCGCAAGGAAGGGTTGGGAGGCACACGCTGCAAGGCGGCGCTGCTGTGACGAGGCGGCGCTGTGGGCAGGTGTGGCGGACGCTCGTGCACTGCTCGGCGGTGGTGGGGATGCACCCCGACGGAGCGACGGAGGCGATCGTCGACTTTGCGCTGGCGGGCGGCTGTAGGCCGGTCCGCATGCTGTGAGCAGCTTCTCTTCACACCCTGCTGCTGTGAACAGGCCAGCGGCAAGCCGTTTGCCGTGGCCCGCAACATTTGCCGCTTGTTGCTCGCCCGCCGTGAAGCTTGCCTCTTCACACCTCCAGCCGTGAACACTACTAGGTGCCCTGCTGCGTCTACTCTGCGTACTTCCCCACCCGCAGGGACAAGCGCGGGAAGCGAGTCACCTCGTACACCGCCTTTGTCAAGTGCCCTCGCCGCCAACACACCGACCGCTTGCCCCGCATGAGCCTCGCCCGTTCACACCGTTGAGCGTGAACAGGTACTTCGTCGACAACGCCTCAAGGGGCCGAGAACAGCGTCTCTTCACACCTACAGCTGTGAACAGGTATTTGGTCGACAAGGCGCCCGGCCGCATCGGCACGAGGACGTTGCCCTTCGAAGGGAAGAACATCGTCGTGTACTCTCTGCCGGAGAGCGGCGGCGGCGGGGAGGGGGAGGGGGCGATGTTGTGCGAACCTTGCGAGTGAGCTCTAGTGAGTGAGTAAAGGCCGACGCGGCGTGAGGGGACGCCGTCGTCACGTGAGCAGCAGCACTCAGCACTCAGCAGCCAGCACCAGCCCAGACTGCAGAAAGATCATATGCGTAAAGCCGTACGGCAAAAAGTGCTGAGACCTGTTCACCTGAGTGCTGTCTGGCGCCACATACTTTTACGCATTACGGTACTCGGTAGTATCGGTAGATAACGTAAAAGCGCCACAAGCCATGCACACACATGCCGGCTTTGACGCGCGCGCAGCCGCAGGCTAGAGACACGCTCCACACAAAAAAAATTGTTCCAGTCTTAGCCAGCAAAAGGGAGCACACACGACTTAGCAAGTCCGCACTAGCGACTGCCACTCGCCTAACCATGCCTTGTCACAAGTGCTCTCCCAATCGCGTACAGGCACACACACTCCGCCTGTTCTCACCCAAACACTCTATCACACCCTTGCCTCCCTGCCAGAGCGAGCTAGATTCTCCCCGCCTCCCTCCCGCCTCTGCCGCGCGCCTTCTATGGACGTCAAGTGCAGCACCTAGGGGGAGAGAGGGGGTTTGCCCTGGTAGGGAGGTGGCGAGGCCGCGCACTGCAAACCCAGTGTGAGGAGTGGGGGAGCTGGGACAGGGCGTGTGCGCCTCTGATCTGTCATGGTCTAGTGGCCGATAGGATCCTCCCTTAGGCAGCGATGGCGGGTCGGGAGAGGCCCGAGTTCTCAGCCCGCCACTTACTGTCAGCCTCTCTGACTGCCCAGGGTCTCACCACGATGCCGCCCGAGTAGAGGGGGTAAGGTGTGTAGAGTGCGGCTGTGTATGGAACCTCTCTCTCCGTGGATCCCACCTGAGCCCACTCGCGGTGCGAAGGCTCCTAATGCGGCAACTGAGCCCGCAAGGGTGGGTCACTAAGGGGGAGGTTACGTTGGTTGATATGTTGTGTTGTGGCGTAAAGCTGTGCAGCGGCGCAGCGAGCCCTGCCGCGGCTCGTCGTCGAGACTGGTCGGTGGGTGGTGCCTGTAACAGCTGAGGCAGGGAGACTGCCTGTGAGTAGCGCAGCCGCGCGGTCGCCCGAGGAGTTGGGATGATAGGTGGAGAGACAGGTGCGACCGTACCTGGGTATGGCGCAGGCTGGTGGCTAGGGTTAGCTGGGCGCGCACGGCGAGTCCAGTCACATTGCCGCCCCGCAACAGCGATGTGAGTGGTCTCTCAGTGCGTGCTCTGCGTCCCTAGAACGTGGCGTGGCGTTGATGCTGAAGCAACAAAATGGTACTATATCAGGCAGTGAAGCATTAGTCGTCAATTTTGGAAGCCGGCTTGCAAAGTCGTTCGGAGCGCCTGATTCGAGCGAGTGGAGGCAGGTTCGAGACCTGGTGGGGGGGTTTGGGGGGGTCGCCCGTCGCCCATCGGACCATCAAGGGATCCATCAAATCCATCGAATCTGTCGACATCTGTCGACAGCTGGCGCGGCTCACGCCGGCCGCTGCGCCAGAATTTTTTTTGTGCTGAGCACAGGGTTGGTTGTGCCGGGCCGCCCCCGCGAGAGAAACTCGTCAGTAAAACTCTCGGGCGGCCCGGCTGTCTGAGGCTGGCACGCAATGGCAAAAGCCCGCGGCTCGTCGCCAAGGAGTTACGAAGTTTTTTTCACACACGCTCCACACAACTATTTCGTAGTGAGGGGCCGCCCTCTCTCTCAACCTCATGTGAGGTTGGTATATCGCCCCCTCCCCTCCCCCCCCGCCCCCGCCCCCGCCCCTCCGCTTGGTCTCATGCTCTCTCCGCGTGCTCTCTCGCTTTTAAGAGTGCTCGTGCCTCACGCGCCGGTTAGCGGGGAGGGGAGGGGGAGCCCGAGCCGCTCGGCGGTCCGCCGCGCCTCCTCCAGCGAGATCTCCTCCTCCTCCTCCCCGTCACGCAGCCGCCCCGCCCGCCGCCCGTCCGCCTTCCACCTGACGCCCTCGCCGACGTCAGCATCCTGCTTGTAGAAGCACGAGTCCACGCCGCCGTCGGCGTACTGGAAGACGCCGCGCCCCTCGTACTTACCCGCCTTGTACTCGCCGTCGTAGACGTCGCCGTCGGCGTACCGGTAGACGCCGCGCCCCTCCATCTTACCCGCCTTGAACTCGCCCTCGTAGACGTCGCCGTCGGCGTACCGCAAGACGCCGCGCCCATCCTTCATACCCGCCTTGTACTCGCCATCGTAGACGTTGCCGCTGGCGTACCGCATGACGCCGCGCCCCTCGTACATACCCGCCTTCCACTCGCCGTCGTAGACGGTGCCGTCGGCGAACCGGTAGACGCCGCGCCCCTCGCGCTCTCCCGCCGCGTTGCGCTCGCCCACGTACTCCGCCTTCATCGCCTCGCCCGAGTCAACCATCGCGTTGTTCACCTTGGTTGCGTAGTCACGGTACAGCTGGACGACCACCGGCTTGTCGCCCTTGCCCGTGAAGGAGGCCTCCTCGATCGCGGCGATCACGCGCTTGTTACGCGGCCCCATCCCCTCGTCGGCGCGGTCCTCCATCTCTGCCACACGCGGCCCCGCGCCGTCGATCTCGACGACCTTGGGCGGCAGCCGCTCTTCCAGCAGCTTGCCCAGCCCTGGGAAGTAGGCGAGGCGCGCGAGCGCCTCGGTGCTCACGGCGCTCTCAAACGTCGTCCACCTGCCAGCGGAGAGGGGGGGGGGGGTAGCGGAAGAGCAGAGCTGTGGTGGTGGCGGGCTGGCGGGGCACCTCTGAGAGCGGGGTTGGGGACTCTCGCACGCCGCATCGCGGCGGCGGCGGTGGAAGGGAATGGGAGACGAGAGAAGAGGGGTGGGGGGAGAGGGGGAGGGGGGTCCGCACCCGCGAGCGAGGTAAGGGCGGTCGTTGTAGAAGAGGAAGACGGCGATCGCGCCCGGCAACGCGTCAGCTGCAGCTGCTGCCGCCACCGCCTCTTCCGCCGCCGCGTGGGTTGGGAAGCGCACGCGCCACCGGCCCTCCTCGTAGCGCGGGTTCTCAAACGCCCCGAGAGCACTGCGCAGCTCTGCCTCGGCGCCGGCGCCGTCGAGCCCGCCGCCCTTCTCGACGAGGACGACCACCTCGCCGTCCAGCTCCGCCGGGCGGGCTGGCACGGAGCGGTGGCGGATGACGATCGTGCCGAAGAGAGAGGCGTAGACGTCGCCCATGACCTGCGGAGGGTCGAGGAGAAGGGAGGCGTGGGGAGAAGCAAGGGCATGTGTGCGGGCGAGAGAGTGGGGAGTAGAAGCGCGGCGGGCGCAGAGGGCGGCGGGGAGAAGGCGGCGCGGACCTTGAGCGCTTGATAGAAGAACTCGTCCTCTGCCGCCGTCCTCGGCTTTTGCGGGAGCGAAGAGAAGCTGCGGAGGGGGGGCGCACGGGGGGGCAGGGGGGCGGCAGAGTATGAGAGAAGCGACAAGTGAGGGATAGGCGCAGAGGGAAGGCCTGTCCTCCCACGCGGCGCAGCCACTGGGACTGGGGTGGGTCTGGGGCGGCGGCGCACTCCCAGAAGAGGCCCGTCACGTGCTCGCCGAGCGGGTGGCGCAGGAAGCGCCGCACGTTCGCCAGATACTCTCCGGTCACGTCGGGGTGGTCCGGCGAGGCCCAGCCGTAGGTCAGCCCGGCGACTTCGCGGCTCAGCGAGCGCAGCGCCGCAACAGCCTCCTCCGGCGTGAGGAAGATGCGGATGCGTCGCTCCTCCTCCATTCGCTCCAGCTCTTGCCGGCGGAGGAGCTCGGGCAGCACCGCCTCGGAGCCGTCAGCGCGCAGGAACTCGGCGCGGAGCAGCTTGATGGCGCCGGAGTGGAGGGCGGCGACGAGCGCCTCGTCGAGGGCCGCCAGCAGCGGGATGCCCTTGTGGTCGGCGGCGGTGAGCCTGGGCAGCGGGGAGGAGATGGGCAGCGAGGCTGCAGCGGTAGCAGAGGACCTCTTGGCCTCTTCGAGCATTGTGAGCTGCTGCCAAGGGTCCGCTTCTGCAGCTGGCTGCCAAGGGTCCGTTGCTGCAGCTGGCTTGCTCATCCCGCAGCCCATGAGGACCGCCTGCTTTCACCAAGCCGATCGACTTTGAGCACCTGTGGCGCAGCGGAAAAAAGTATTGTTCTCCCTGGCGTGCGCGAGTCGCTCGTCCTAGGGAGCGAACTAGTGCGAGTCACTAGTGTACTCGAATGCAAGCGAAGGGTAGCTCTCGTCTGCTGCTGCTGCTGCTGCTGTTGCTCTCGCTACTGCTGTTGCTATTGAAGCTGCTGTCTAGTCGCTACGCAATTGTCGCTGTCTGTTAGCTACGGTTGCTGTGCTAACGTGCGCATCGTGTTCACGCACACCGCACCACTTTCCGCCCGGAAGGATAGGAGTGGTGCATTCGGGTGCGCATCGTGTTCACGCACGTGTGTGTGCTACCGCAGAGTGGCCTGGAGGCGACAGATTGCTTCGTAGAAGCGCTCCTATGCCTTATCCCCGGGAGGTGTCGCAGCGTGCGAGCGGTCGTCGTCGCTCCGAGCTGGCCAAGCGTATTGGCGGGTCGCCTCACGCTTGACCTGCTGGAGTACCGCTCGCACGCCGCCCCGGGGTGGCGGGGTGGTGGTCCCTGCGAGACCACCCGACGCCGTGACTCACGGGAGGGGCAGCCAAGCCCTCCACGTGCTCCACGACGCCACCCGCCTACTAGCGTTTCGTGTGAGCTACGGGCGGCGTGCAGGCTCGCTGAGTGAGCGCATCTCGCTGAGGCAGCTGTGAACGCACGCGGTTGAGCGAGCTCGGCAGGGCGATTGTCTCATCTCTTGAGCGACATTGCGATCTCGCCATCGTGCCATGCAGCGGCACAAGTCGAGCTGTGAACACGCGGTGTGAATGAGCTCGGCAGCGAGATTGTCTCATCTCTTGAGCGAGATTGTGATCTCGCGATAGTGAACGAGATTGTGATCTCGCGCTAGCGCTCGCATGGGCCTTGCCATGTATCGATCACATGGCGAGCTCGGCAGAGAGATTGTCCCATCTCTTGAGCGAGATTGTGATCTCGCGATAGTCAACAAGATTGTGATCTCGCGCTAGCGCTCGCAATGGGCCTCGCCACGTATCGATCGCATGTGGCGAGCTCGGCATAGAGATTATGCCTCATCTCTTGAGCGAGAGATTGTGATCTCGCTATGGTGCCATGCTGCGGCACAAGTCGAGCTGTGAACACGCGGTGTGAACGAGCTCAGCAGAGAGATTGTCTCATCTCTTGAGCGAGAGATTGTCATCTCGCTACAGTGCCATGCAGCGGCACAAGTCGAGCTGTGAACACGCGGTGTGAACTAGCTCGGCAGGGAGGTCGTCTCATCTCTTCCCGAGAGATTGCGATCTCGCTATAGTGCCATGCGGCGGCACAAGCCGAGAGCTGTGAACCCGCGGTGTGAACGAGCTCGGCGGGGAGATTGTCTCATCTCTTGACTGAGCGAGAGATTAGCATCTCGCTATAGTGCCATGCAGCGGCACAAGTCGAGCTGTGAACACGCGGTGTGAACGAGCTCGGCGGGGAGATTGTCTCATCTCTTGACTGAGCGAGAGATTAGCATCTCGCTATAGTGCCATGCAACGGCACAAGTCGAGCTGTGAACACGCGGTGTGAACGAGCTCGGCAGGGAGATTGTCTCATCTCTTGACTGAGCGAGAGATTAGCATCTCGCTATAGTGCCATGCAGCGGCACAAGTCGAGCTGTGAACACGCGGTGTGAACGAGCTCGGCGGGGAGATTGTCTCATCTCTTGAGCGAGAGATTAGCATCTCGCTATAGTGCCATGCAGCGGCACAAGTCGAGCTGTGAACACGCGGTGTGAACGAGCTCGGCGGGGAGATTGTCTCATCTCTTGAGCGAGAGATTAGCATCTCGCTATAGTGCCATGCAGCGGCACAAGTCGAGCTGTGAACACGCGGTGTGAACGAGCTCGGCAGGGAGATTGTCTCATCTCTTGAGCGAGAGATTGGCATCTCGCTATAGCCATGCAGCGGCACAAGTCGAGCTGTGCGCGCAATGGCTCTCAGCCGCCGCCCGCAACGGGCCGGGTGTGTCGCACTTGCCGCTCGGCAGCGGTGGCTAACGCAGTTAGACCGTGCATCATACACACGGTGTCACACGCTTTTACACCCGCAACGGGCACACAGCCGTGTATTGGACTTGCCGCTCGGCAGCGGTGGCAGACGCCGCTGGCCCATGTATCACTCACATGGTGTTACACACAACATGTACATGTACATGTCATGTACAACATGTACATGTATCAGTCACATGGTGTCACACGTACTGCCACCCGCCACGGGCGCAGTCGTGTCGCACACGCCATCCGCAGCGGAGGCTAGCGCCTCTAACCATGTATCAGTCACATGGTGAGATCGCATCGTGCTCGCAATTCGGCAGATCGCTGAGGCAACGAGGTCGCGCGGGCTGGCGGGGCTGGGGCGCGGGCGATCGGGCTCTTCGCGGCGTGGGCCGGCTGCAGGCAGCGCGCCGGCTATGCATGCTAGGCCCCGAAGGGGCCTGCCCAACCACCTACGGTTCGCAGGGTGTGGCGGGAGGGGCGAATCGTGCAGTGTGAGCGAGCGAGCAAACGCAGCGGGGCAGCGTGCATCGCTCGCGAGCAAGGAGATCGGCGATCGACTTTGTGAAAGCCGAGCACGTGAGGCGCCGTCACAGCTGTCGCTGTGAATGGCTTATCGGATGGCTACCTGCGAGCGGGCTGCAGGTGGCCGGGAGGTGGGAACCAAGGCCGTCGCGATCGACAGGCCTACTCGTACAATACGGGCTCCGCTCCACACCGACCAAACCTCTCGGAGCTAATATTGTTCTCCCTGGCGTGCGCGAGTCGCTCGTCCTAGGGAGCGAACTAGTGCGAGTCACTAGTGTACTCGAATGCAAGCGAAGGGTAGCTCTCGTCTGCTGCTGCTGCTGCTGCTGTTGCTCTCGCTACTGCTGTTGCTATTGAAGCTGCTGTCTAGTCGCTACGCAATTGTCGCTGTCTGTTAGCTACGGTTGCTGTGCTAACGTGCGCATCGTGTTCACGCACACCGCACCACTTTCCGCCCGGAAGGATAGGAGTGGTGCATTCGGGTGCGCATCGTGTTCACGCACGTGTGTGTGCTACCGCAGAGTGGCCTGGAGGCGACAGATTGCTTCGTAGAAGCGCTCCTATGCCTTATCCCCGGGAGGTGTCGCAGCGTGCGAGCGGTCGTCGTCGCTCCGAGCTGGCCAAGCGTATTGGCGGGTCGCCTCACGCTTGACCTGCTGGAGTACCGCAATGACCTGAAGCAACTACTAACGTGTGAACGTCGGCAGTTCGCACGCTGCGCAATGTCCTGAAACCTACACGAGGCCATCCCTGGCGCAAGCGCATCGCTCTGCGGTTGCGGCGGGCGGCGGCGGCGGCGGCGGTTGAGGCGGCGGCGGCGGGGGGGGGGGGGGGGGGGGCGCCCCTCGTGCTCTCCCTCGAACCCTCTCCAGGTGAGATGCGCGGCGGCGTCTCTCCGGAGGGCGTCTTCGCCTAGGCTAGGAGGAGGAGGAGGAGACTCTCTCCCGTGTGGCGAAGCTGCGGCGGCTGCGGCGGCGGGCGGAGCGGGTAGTGCGACCGCTCCCCTGGCGAGGGCAAGCATGGTGGCCTCCCATCTCCCTCCCGGCCGCGCGGCGAGGGCGGCGCTGCCCTGCCATCGAGCGCGCTCTGCCTTCCTCGGGGAGCGCGTGTTTCGCCTAGAGCTGGTGGACGGGAAGAGCGGGTGTCCCGTCCGCCGCACGGCGGCTGCAGCGCGTCTCGCCTAAGGCTGTACTCGCAGAGAGGGAGAGAGACTCCTCGTGCGCTGCTCGGCGACTGCGGCGGCGGCGGCGGCGGGCAGCGGGATCATGCGGCGGCGCTGCGAGAGGAGATGGCTGTGTGGCCTCCTCTGACTGCGCCACGCGGCCCGCCGGGAGGAGCGGCTTGAGCTGCAGCACACAGTAGGCGAGCGCGTGTGGTCCGTGCGCTGCTCGTCGGTGCGGGCAGCGCTGACGCCCTCGCCGCATCGCGCGCGCGGCGGCCGGGCGGCTGCGTGGCGCCGCGGCCTTCGTCAGCGCCAGACCTGGTCCTCCAGCAGCAAGGTGCACAGTGACTGTGCCACCAACAAACGCACAGCACCGCGGCGGTGCCAGGAAGAGCCTCCGCGCGCAGCAGCCGAGCTGCCGCCGGGCGGAGGAGGCGCGCGGCGCGAGGCGCGGCGCGCGCGGCGCAGGAGTACCTGCGAATCGTGCAGTGTGAGCGAGCGAGCAAACGCAGCGGGGCAGCGTGCATCGCTCGCGAGCAAGGAGATCGGCGATCGACTTTGTGAAAGCCGAGCACGTGAGGCGCCGTCACAGCTGTCGCTGTGAATGGCTTATCGGATGGCTACCTGCGAGCGGGCTGCAGGTGGCCGGGAGGTGGGAACCAAGGCCGTCGCGATCGACAGGCCTACTCGTACAATACGGGCTCCGCTCCACACCGACCAAACCTCTCGGAGCTAAAAATGAGTCTAGGTTCTTAGGAGTGCACATGCGGGGGGGGTGATGGGGTCCCATGGCCCGCCGCAGGCGCCGATTATGTCAGATTCTTTTCTTTTTTGCCCATTTTTACTTGTTTTCATGGGAATTCGGCGACTTGCGGCCATGCTATCACGCCTTGCGACAGCCTGTCGGCGCAGCTGACCGTGCCATGATGCACAATTGATCACCTGCATAGCTCGCGGCCTTAGTATCAAGCATTCAGTGACGACCTGATCGTACGGCCAGTAGGAAGGTGTCCTTCCACCGTGTGCACGCTTCTGGCGCAATGCGCGTCACAAACTGCCTCGGCGACTGGCTGCTGGCACTCTCGAGGCTATGCCTACACGGCCTCGCGCGCATGGGCAGTCAAGAGGGACCATGCACCTTCTCAGGACGGCGCCGGTGACTCTCTCTTGGACCGGCAAATTTGGTGGTATCGTGTCACCAATGTGGGACCAGTGCGGCATAGCAATCTCGCCGCCCGGCGAGGCACGGACGAAACCGTGTGTGGGGTCTAGTGATGTGTCTATGGACGCCCTCCTCAGAGGCTAGCTGCCTACTGCTAGCCCTATCTCGCACTCACGGGCAGTGACAATTCATTGTATGAGTGTCGTGCGGCCGCAGCGCGCCCGCCGCAGGCTCGGCGGTGCGCGCGTGTTAGCGAGAAAGTTGCGGGTGGAGTGAGAGAGGCTTGGATTTTAAGAATTCTTTTGTGCCTGGTGATCTGCCACCGTTGATTTGTTTCTTTTCTCGAGGTATTTCGGTAATTTCTTTTGTCACGGCGTTCGCTTTCACAAAATGGAGGAGCTCGAGTTCACGGTGCGCCGCGGCGACGACGGCGGCCTCGGCATCCGCGTCTCCGCCCAAAATACCTGCCTCGAGATCATCTCTCCTCCCGGCGGCGGCGGCGAGCACCCGATCCAAGTCGGCGACGAGATCATCTCTATCGACGGCCACCTCCTGCAGGGTGTGCGGCTGCGCGAGAAGCTGCGCGAGATTGGCTCCAAGCGCGCCCACGACTTTCGCGTGCGACGGCGCCTCGCCCCCGCCGAGGGCTGGGACGGCGCGGCGCTGGCGGCAGAGGCGACGAGGGCTGTGGCGCGGGTCGAGGCGGTGGTGGCGGCGGCGAGGGAGGAGAGGCTGCCGAGCTCGCCGTACCACCCGCCGGAGCAGGAGCAGGCAGCGCACCCGCCCGACAGACTCGCGAAGCAACGAGGTTCGCCGGCGCAGGCGAGGCCGCCGCGCAGAAGCCGCGACTCGGCCGGCGAGATTCTCTCGACCGAAGCGGCGGCGAGGGCGGCGGAGGGGAAGAGCCCGGCGGAGGTGGTGCTGGGCGACGACGACGACAACGACACCCTGCGTGCAAAGGTGCTCCTTCTCAAGGACCAGCTCCGCCTCTCCCAGGTGCTCTCGCCTCACCTCCTCGGGAAGAGATCGCACAGGGGCGTCCGAGAGAGGGTGGAGGTGGGCCCGCAGATGACGAAACTGTTGATCCACAGGCTGCGCTGGACAAGCTCCGCCGCGCGTCGGAGATGAAGCGGCGCGAGGAGGCGCAGCGGTACGAGGATGACGTGGAGGCTCTGCTGGACCCGCCGGAGGAGCAGCCGCGTTGGAACATAGTTCAGTATATGCTCAGTCGTGTTCGATGTGCATCTGCAGGCGCTGCTGGACGCGGCGGAGGAGCAGCACGCTCTCAAGCTCGCGATTGCAGTGCAGACGGCGATCTCTTCGGCAGGAGGCGCGGGGGACGTGTGCTTAGATACTGGTTCTTGAGTTGTGATTGGTTATTGATCAGGCGCGCGAGGTTGAGGCGCAGGAGCAGAAGCAGCGGCGGGAGGCCGAGGCCGCAGCCAAGGCTGGAGAGCTCAAAGCGTTGAAAGCGAGCAGCCGCAGATGGCGGCGGAGGAGATCGCTCGAGATCGGCCGAGGTCACCCGAGATGTCTCCCTCGGCGTAGGAGCACATGCAGATGGCGGTGGAGGAGGCGGTGGCGAGGGCGAGGCACGAAGGCGACGCTATAGAGCCCTCGAGGGGCACATGCGCCACGGTGTGAACGGCGCCTCTTCACAGGAGCTGCGGCGGTGTGTGGTGTGAACAGGCAAGGTCGCCCTCGAGGATGCGCTTAGTCGCGCAGAGGCGATGTCGCGCGACAGGCTGCACGCTGCGGTGGCGGAGGCGGACCGGTGTCCTAATGAATGAACTACATCATCATTGACTGAGGGATAGGCTGCGCGATGCGTTGGCGGAGGCGGACCGGTCAGGCGAGCCGCGGACGTCGCGCTGGCCCTGGTTAAGTCAGGGATAGTCATCAGTCACCGATCTCTTAACCAACCGACAGGCGAGCAGCGGAGGGAGCTGAGGAGAAGGGTGTGCTCCCCGATCACTAACAATCATACAGTTCACCGAGACAGGCAAGCAGCGGATGGAGCTGGCCTTGGCGGCGGAGGCGTCGGCGGCCAAGGCGCGCGTGATGCGTGTCGGACGCAGAGGACTCCGAGTCGACTTCTACTCCTAACTGGTTAATGAGTAGTTGTATGCCTCTCGCTCAGGCGCGCGTGTCCGACGCGGAGGAGAAGCTGCGCCGGCAGGTGGAGGAGCTCAAGACGCTCGCAACCAAAGTGGTCGGCCTGACTGCGGAGAAGGACAACCTCTCCTCACGGCACGAGAGCACGACGGGCGACCTCGCGCCTAATCATACTTGATGATGTGAAGATAGTTAATTATTATCAGGCTCGATCGCACGACGGGCGATCGCGCCTTATCATACTCACTCATGATGATAGTTAATTAAGTGATAACAGGCTCGATCGCACGACGGGCGACCTCGCTCGCGAGCGGAAGGCGGTCCGGGACATGACCGAGTCTAATTCATTAGTTAATTAGTTGATTAGTTGATTACTTACTGAAGGCGGTCCGGGATATGACGGAGCTGAAGGAGCACCAGCTCAGCGAGATGCAGGCCCGTCACTAGTCGGTGGCTCCGCGGCAGCCGTAATTCTTTTTCTCACCACAGCTCTGCGAGATGCAGGGGGGGGGGGGGGGGGTGAGTATTAGTGCGCGCGACCTATAATCATACCTATTGGTAATACTTAATTGGTTGCTTGGCGGCAGGCGGCCCACTCGCGCGTCCTGGAGGCGAAGAGGGAGGAGGCGACGAAGCAGCTGCGCGAGGTGAAGATCGAGGTGCGCTGTCCAGCCGAGAGATACAGCCGAGAGGTAGACATGGAGATACAGCCGAGAGGTAGACACAGTGGAGACACAGCCGAGAGACATGGAGATACAGCCGAGAGGTAGACACAGTGGAGACACAGCAAGACACATTTGACTGAGTGAGGTGTGAGAGGAGGGCGCGAGGCGCAGCTAGAGGCGGGGAGGGAGGCGCTGCACATCTCGGCTGCACCTCTGCTGCATCTCTGCTGTCACTTCGGCTGCACCTCAGCAGCACCTCTGCTGTCACCTCAGCTGCATCTCTGCACTGTCACCTCGACCGCACCTCTGCTGCACCTCGACCGCACCTCTGCTGTCACCTCTGCTGTCACCTCTGCTGTCACCTCTGCTGTCACCTCGGGCTGTCACTCGCAGGTGCGGGAGGCGAAGCTGGAGGCGGGGAGGCAGATCCGCGAGGCCGAGATGAAGGCGCGGGACTCGATCCACGGAGCCCAATAATAATAATTACTCATTAACCATTAATGATTGATGAAGGCGCGGGACTCGATCCACGAAGCCCAATAATAATAATTACTCATTAACCATTAATGATTGATGAAGGCGCGGGACTCGATCCACGAAGCCCAATAATAATAATTACTCATTAACCATTAATGATTGATGAAGGCGCGGGACTCGATCCACGAAGCCCAATAATAATAATTACTCATTAACCATTAATGATTGATGAAGGCGCGGGACTCGATCCACGAAGCCCAATAATAATAATTACTCATTAACCATTAATGATTGATGAAGGCGCGGGACTCGATCCACGAAGCCCAATAATAATAATTACTCATTAACCATTAATGATTGATGAAGGCGCGGGACTCGATCCACGAAGCCCAATAATAATAATTACTCATTAACCATTAATGATTGATGAAGGCGCGGGACTCGATCCACGAAGCCCAATAATAATAATTACTCATTAACCATTAATGATTGATGAAGGCGCGGGACTCGATCCACGAAGCCCAATAATAATAATTACTCATTAACCATTAATGATTGATGAAGGCGCGGGACTCGATCCACGAAGCCCAAGCGGAGGCGGCGAGGCGTCTGGACGAGGCTCCGTCAAGAGCGCGTCTGCTGACTCACCACCGACTAGTCACAGGCGGCGAGGCAGATGGACGAGGTGGCTGAGGAGAAGCGGGCGACGGAGGCGGAGCAGACGCCGTCGCAGCTGCTCTTCACACCTCTCGTCCTTCACGTACTTAGTCTTTTCTGGCAGGCGGAGCGGGAGTCGGTGCGTGCAAGGGGGTGCAGCCGCGCCGCCGCCGCTGCTGTGAACAGCGCCTCTTCACGGCCGGGTTTGGTTGTGAGCAGGTGCGGGTGCAGCTCTCTCGCGAACAGCGCGAGATGCGGGCGGCGGTGGAGGCGATGCGACAGCGAGGCGGAGGAGTAGTGGACGCGAGGCTGTGATGTTAAAGCAGTGGTGACGGGGTGATGATAGGCGGAGCTGCGCAAGCACGAGATGGAGAACGCGAGGCTGTGGTGTTAAAGCAGTGGTGACGGGGTGATGATAGGCGGAGCTGCGCAAGCACGAGATGGAGAACGCGAAGCTGCACGAGGAGCTGGGCAGAGCACACGTCGTCTGCCGCGCCGCAGCGCAGCTCTATTTCTTTTTCTTCATTTATTATTTCTTTATTTGCCTATAAGGTCGTCTGCCGCGCCGCCGTCCAGTTCGCGCAGGTGGTCGAGACGTTTCGCACCAACTCGCCCGCCTCTGCCTTCCCGCTCGCCGGAGCCCTCGAGCGCTGTGTAGCGGCGCAGCCAAGCCTGTGAACGGCGTCTCTTCACAGCGCGCAGCTGTGAACAGGCGTCGCCGAGAACTTTCGCGCGAGCTCGCCACACGACACCCCCAACCGGCGCACGCCCCCCCTCCCCCCTGCCCCCCCTGCCCCCTCTCCCCTCACCAGTAAGCAGTAATAGGTAACACGACCACACCCCAGACGGGCGTACGCACTCTCTCCCCTCACCAGTATAGCAGCAGTAGGCAACCTTGATTCCAAGACCTCTGGCCGTTCTCCACACCGCTCCAAGCGACTACAGCGACACAGGGGACTTAGACGTGGCTTGAGCATCCCCTCGCCAGTCATCATCGAGAGGTATAAGGGGGGTCACACATACCGCGAGTACATCCTCGCCCCCACATCTCGGCTGCATCTCCCACATCTCGGCTGCATCTCCCACATCTCGGCTGGATCTCCCACAGCTCGGCTGCATCTCGGAGCGTAGGATGCCAGCAGACGCTCGAGCCGCGGGCAAGGACGACGCGCTGCAGCCGCCGACGCCGCCGCAGCACGTGAGAGTTTCCACCGGCCGACAGAGGCGGGGTGTGGGTGTGAACGGCGTCTCTTCACGCACCACGGCTGCTGAGTGAACAGGTGCGTGTCCCAGCGAGGCCGGTCCTCCCTCCGCCGGCCGCGCTGCCCGCGGCGGTCGGAGACAAGAAGAAGGGCGGCGAGGCGGCCGGCACGCAACCGGTTACGCGGCCGGCGGGCGCGTCTCCGAGTCTGTCGCAGGTGCGGGGCGGGGCTGAGAGCAAACTAAGTGAATACACACGCCTACCCCCTTGGGTAGTCGATTGGGTAGACAGATGGGGAGGGTGCTGGGAGCGTGCCCCCGCCCCCCGCGGTAGTGGCTGAGCAACATAAGTGAATTACTCGGTGTGGACACACGCCCCGCGGAAGTGGCTGTCGGCGTGGCAATGTCTCCGGACCGCTGTCGCAGGTGACCGAGCTGAGCAACGACATGGTGTGAGCATGAAGAACAGACGGTGGGGGGGGGCGAGGGTGGTGGAGTCTTGTCCAGAACACCTGCCTGTGTGCTGCCGGCGTTGTGGGAGGCGAGAGCGAAGGGGGCCATTCTAACAGACCATCTCATCGCAGGGAGCGGCGGACGGGCAGAGGTGAGGGAAAGAGGGCCAGCAGAGAGTGGTAGCTGGTCGAGGGAAATTAATATTGCGCGCCAGGAATTCTCCGGCGACCGCGCAATCGACTTCCATCCGGGGGGGAGACGCGGACGGATCGAGCGGACAGGGAGAGGCACAGGCAGCGCCTACCATGTAGTATCACAGCACTGTCAGGTTAAGGTGGTTCTTGAGAGTTGTGAACGAGCCCGCTTCTCTCAAAGTCGCATGGGGACGTCGCCAATCGGAAGCGCACCCACATGCCCCTCAACCCGTCGACGAACGAGACATCAAGGTCCCGAACGCCCCAATGGTCCCTGGGATCGAACTGCTCGCGCCCCCCGATTCGCGTCTTCGGGAGCCCCGATTCGGCCCCACCACACTGATAAAGACCACCGGCCAGTTGACGACACACTCCTAGACGCCCGCCGATGAAGCTTGGAGGATGTATGGAGGAATGGTAATGACCTCTCCGGATTGGTTGAGCCCCGGCATCGACGGTGGGAAGAGGGAGGATCCCCGCCCCTATCCCTCAGTTTAATCCCCGAGAGGAGAGGCAGAGCCTCTGGCGCGGTGAGACCACCCGTAAGCTCTCAAGGCCGACCCCCCCTCTCCAGTTCAGATCACGACCCCCTCGGAGGGGGCCGGACGAGGCGTACCCCGAGGGCCCCGCTCTGTCCCGGCAGCGGCGCGCGCGCACACACAAAGACGCTGCCCCCTCACACCCCGCACCGCACATCACACACCCCTCGTGGCCGTTCTTCAGTCTGCGGCCAGGGCGCGCTGCACCGGGCCAACCTGCGGCCGTCGCTACGAGCGGCGGGGCTCACCGCGGGGCAGCGCGCCGACGACGTCGAATGCGCCGCCGTGGCATCTCGGCGCCGACGACCAGGCTCAGAGGATGACCCCGGGTAAGTGTTCCCGTGCCTCGACAACTGCCGCTGGTAGGCGCGCCGCGCCAAGCCATGGCGGGCGCGCCGCGGCCGCGCGCAACCTTCGTTACAATGCCAACCGCGCGCGGCCGTCGACCGGCAAGCACACGCCTCGACTCGGACACGGTGTTCCGAGGGCAAGGGAGAGGGGCTGGCTCCTAGCCCGAGAGGGGAGCTTCCGAGACCGACTACAAGACCACGCACGCATCATCCCGCGGCCTGGCGGTCGGCGGGATTGCAACCAGTCTTCGCGTGCCGCCTGTCGTTCGACTCGGGCGCCTTGGGCGTCGGGGTGGCGAGCAGGGGACGCGGCTCTGAGCGCCCAGCGACGCGTGCCGGATGGAGTCCGGCCGCGGGTGACTAGGGAAGTTCGCTCAGGATGTGTGGGGGGGGCCTGGTGGGTAAAGGGGGGGGGGGGAGCCGTTGGGTCACGTGACCAGCAGCGGTCACATGACCAACGGCGTGCGGCGTGGACGTGCGCGTGCGGCGGCGCGGGCGCGAGCACGCGGGGCACGTGGGCGGCGGCCGGCGCGAGCACCTTCGGCGCGACGGGCGGCGCGGCGGGGCCGCCGACGCCCGCGCCGAGCACGGGGCCCTGCCCGACCTGCGGTGGGAGGGGAGGTGGGTCGGACGAGCACGCGGGCTAGGCGCGCGGCTTGTGTCGTGCGTGCGCGCGTGCGCGCGAGGAGAGGAAGGGGGCGGTGCGGCGGGGAGGGGGATACCTGGGGCGGCGGGGCAAAGGGCGCGGGCGCGCCGCCGAGCACGCCGGCAACGCCCGCCGGCTGCGGCACCTGCCGGACAGTAGGGGGGGGGAGCGTGGCGTGGGGCAGAGGGGAGCGAGGAGGGGCGAGGCGACACAGGACGAGCGCGCGCGTGCGCGCACGTGGGCGGGCGGCGGGCGGCGGGCACGCACCTGGAAGGGCACGAGAGGCACGAGAGGCCCCAGAGTCGAGTGCTGCACCGAGTTGACGTTGGCGCCGTGCTCGAGCAGGAGAGCCGCCGGCGGCGCGAAGTGCAGTCGGTCAGCCGGCGCCGGTCCATCGCATGCCGCTGGCGCCGGGCCGTGCGATCAGTCGAGTGAAGGGTTGGCTAGCCTTGCCGTTCAAGATGAAGCCCGCCATGTCGGCATCGGCTGCTGCACGTTGAAGGAACTGGGCGGCCGAGCCGACGACGGGCACGATCCGCTTGCTCTCCTTGTGCTGCAGCCACGGTAGCTCGCGCAGCATCCGCCAGCCGTCCTTGCAAAGGTAGCCAACGACGCCTCGCGAACCCTCGCCGACCAGCTCGAGCATGTTGTTGTAGGTCGGTTTGGTGTTCTTGCCGAACATCTGCGACAGCGCGGACCTGCCCGCGACCACGTGGACGACGCCCGCCGAGTCCACGAGCGTCCATGATGGCTCCAGCGCCATGATCGACGCGGATCTTCGAGGTGTTCAAGCGGGCGCCGGTAGATCTTCGAGGTGTTCACGTGGATCTTCGAGGTGTTCAAGCGGCGGTGGAAATGACTTTCCTCATCAGCGAACCTCCGCCCAGCAAAAACTCAGGACCCGCTGACGGTGACAATCGTTGGACCAGGGCCCGTGGTAGACTTTCGACGCGGTGAGGCTGCTCTCTGAGCATGTGTGTCATCGGAGTCACTTGTATTACGATACCACCACGCCGCCACGCTCGCAAGGGCCGCCTAAGCGCCTAAGCACCCTAAGCACCCCCCCGCTTAGGCCGCTTAGGCGCTTAGGCGAGTGACGGCCGGCTGCCCGGGGCCTGGCGTGCCTCCGCCGTGGGCTGAGCGCCCGGGAGAGCCACTCTGCAAGTGGTGTGCGAGCGTGTAGCCTTTAGCGTGCAGTCGGCCAATACTGAATAGTATGCGCGCGCATCTCTCGGCTGAACAGCTTTCTCGGGGCTAGATCTCGTCGAGCGTGCGGCACACGGCGGCGACAAACTCGCCCGCCGCCCGCGGAGGCTTGGCGAGATTGTGCGACGCGCCTGTGAGATTGCCCGAGATGACCCGAGATGACCCGAGATTGAAGAGGTGCGTGAGTGCGGCTCGCCGCCTGCTAGAATAAGTGCGGACGCGCCGTTCTCTGCGCCGCCCGCCGCTGCGACGAAGCGCCTCGCAGAAGGGGAGTCGAGATATGGCCGAGATATAGCGGAGATGTGGCCGATGTATAGCCGATGTATGGCCGAGAGGTATAGCCGAAAGATATCCGAGATGTGTCCGAGATGTGGCGATGTCGCCTCGCCAGCAGCGGCACGTCGACGGACGGCGGGACGTACTCGTCGCCTGACTAATTAATTACTTAATTAATTAGTTAGTTAGTTAGTTAGTCGACGGACGGCGGGACGTACTCGTCGCCTGACTAATTAATTACTTAGTTAATTAGTTAGTTAGTTAGTTAGTCGACGGACGGCGGGACGTACTCGTCGCCTGACTAGTTACTTAATTAATTAATTCGTCAATTATTAGTCGACGGACGGCGGGACGTACTCGTCGCCTGACTAATGAAGGGTGATCACTTCCCCAAGTAAGAATGAGTAGGCGTCAGCCTCGAGCAGGTGTTCGTCGCCTGACTAATTAATTAATTAATTAAGTATGACTGAGTAGGCGTCAGCCTCGAGCAGGTGTTCGTCGCCTGACTAATTAATTAATTAATTAAGTATGACTGAGTAGGCGTCAGCCTCGAGCAGGTGTTCGTCGCCTGACTAATTAATTAATTAATTAAGTATGACTGAGTAGGCGTCAGCCTCGAGCAGGTGTTCGTCGCCTAATGGATGACGGGTTGCCAATTAATTAATCACGAATTCGCAGGCGTCGACCGCCAGCATTGTAGTCGTAGCCTCCGGAGAAGCAGAAGAGAGTGCGCAGGCCTGCTCTCACGGCCAGCGGGTGTGAAGACGCGGCGCATGACAGCGTGCGGCGGCAGAACAGAGTGCGGCGGGCCCGGGTGGCTCGGCGCCGTCGCCCTCTGCCCAGCGAGGCCCATGTGGCCGAGCTTCGCGGCCTGAGACCAGACGCGGAGACGGTGTGACTGGCGGGTAGCTTTTAGCGCTGATGTGGATGCGGCCGCGCTGCTGCCAGCTGCTCGTCGGTGAAATCGGAGGAGAAGAGGTCGTCTGGTCTGTTCACAGCCAGAGGTGTGAACACTCCGCCGATCCGAGCCCGAGGGGCAGGGGGGGGGGGGGAGGCTGCCCGTCGCGCCCCACCAGCGACGCGAACCTGTTCACACCTCGAGGCTGTGAACCACACACATGCCTCGCCCAGCCCTGCTGGCTTCAACCACCGGCAAGCACCTCGAAGCGCTGATTGGGACGAATCCGTAGTACTTTTGGCTGAGCAGCGCCTCGCCCTCGCCCGCCGCCAGCTTCGCCTCCGCCTCCGCCAGCAGCCTGTTCACACCCCGCAAGCGTGTGTGAAGAGACGCGGATCACTGCTGCCTCCGCTGCCTCCGCAACCATCCCCGTGCCGAGGTGTATCTGCTTATCTCGGCTGCATCTCGGCTGCATATGGGCTGTCGCTCAGCTGCATATCTCGGCTGTCTCTCAGCAGTATCTCGGCAGTATCTCGGCAGTATCTCGGCTGTATCTCGGCTGTAACTCGGCTGCATCTCGGCTGTATCTCGGCCGTCTCTCCCCGCCTGCCGCGTGACCCGTCCGAGTCTTGCTCGACAGTCTGCGACTCTCGGTCGCTCACCGGCGCCTGCAGCACCGCCGCACGGACCCTGCTCCGCAGTTAATCAGCAGTTAATTCGCAGTGAATTCGCAGGTAATTAGCAGTTAATTCGCAGTTAATTAGCAGTTAATTAGCAGATAATTAGAAGTTAATTAGCAGTTAATTAGCAGTTAATTAGCAGCACCGCCGCACGGACCCTGCACGGCGCAGCTCGGGCGTCGGATGTGTGAAGTAAGGTATGAACCAACGGTGGATACCGCATCGCAACTCCGGCCGTATCTAAACAGTTGACGCGAGCGACTCATCGACCCCTCACGCTCCTGCAGCGCAGCTCGGGCGGCGCCGTCCGCAGCAGCGTGACGGCGTCCTGGCAGCCGGTAGAGTGGCCTGTTCACAGCGGCGAAGGTGTGAAGAGGCGCCGTCCGGCAGCGCGGCGCCACTGCCGGCTGAGAGAGGAGTGGCGCCGACGAGTGCAAACTCTGCGTCGCCCTCTTCGCGGTCGGCGATGTGCCGCAGGAGCTGCGCCTGCTCACACGTGCATATGCGCTGGTAGTTGAACTCAAATTGACTGCTGCAGTTGTGTGTGTGTGTGTGTGTGTGTGAGTGTGGCGCAGCGGCGCCAGCTCGTCTGCGTCCCTCTGCAGCGAGGAGCAGCCGAAGCCGGCGTACGAGGAGGAGAGGACAGGCTGGACGAGCGACCAGCCTCTCTCGTCGAGCGCAGCGCCGAGCGCCTCGACGTATGAGCAAGCGAGCAGGCCGTCGGTGAGTCCGCCGATGTAGACGCAGTACTTGCGGTGCGCGTGGGCAGCTGGCGACTCGAAGGCCTGCAGCGGCGCCGGCCACGACGGGTGCTTGTAGCGATAGAGGCAACCGGAGAGCGGTGCGGTCGGCGAGGCGGCGGCGGAGGACGCGAGGCGAGAAAGGGCTAGGAGGCCCTGCGCGACGCGCCGCCTCGAAAGGAGGGCGCCGACCATGGCCGCGGTGACGCCAACGGCGAGCAGGCGCTCACGCGTGGCGTGCATGCAGCTGCTGTGGAAAAAAGAATTTTATTGACGTACGGCGCGAGCGGGGACACGGAATTCCAGCGATGGTGGTGTCCCCGCGCTGCTCGCTCGCCCGTGCGGAGGGCATGGCCGCGGAGGAGGCGAGTACGCGCTTGCCAGGCCTTCCACAGACAGCCTCTTGGGCAGACTGAGGGTCGGCTTTGCGTGGCGTGGCCCGTACGCTGCGCTGTGCAAAGCTGCGTATGCGGAGGGAGCATCCTGTGCTTCCACTGGGAGGTGCGCACCTCCTGCAGCTGGTGGAAGGCCGTGCCGCCGTGCGTCTGCTCCGTGGACAGGGCGGGGAGGCGACGCCGCAGCGCCGCAGCGTCCGCTGCACGCCGGTGCAGCCCTCTGCTGCCTGGTGGGCAGCATGCTGGTGCTGTGCGCGGTGTTTGCGAGGCGGCTCTGGCGCTGTACTGCCAGCCGCGGCGAGTGGCGCGAGGCACGCGCGGCGCCGCGCGTGGCCCGGACGGCGCCAGAGAGCGTGCATCCAAAGTTCCACGCTAGCTCCTCCTTCGTCACGTCTATCTTTTTGCAGTATCTCGCGAATGCCGTCCGCGCTTGCTGGGGTGTTATTGCGTTCGGATCCGCCCTGGTCCCCGCCTTGTATCCCATCTCCTTGCGGTGGCTCCTGTATGAGTCCCCATATGACCATGTGATTTCTTGGCCTTCCTTGACTCCCCTCTCTGCAAACAGGACCATCACCTGCGCAGCTGCCTTGCCTAATTGTATCTCCTCGTAGCGTACGAAGTGCGTCGCCCTCGTGCCTCGTTTCGGCTCATTCGATGCTGCAGGCCAGTCGAAGTTACACCGCGCCGCGACGCTGTCAAAGTCGTCCCCGCTCTCGTCGTCACTTCCATCCAGCTGCGTCCCCCCTGCTGCCGTGTGTCGTGATAGTTCGTCTGGTACCGTCTCTGGTGGCTGCGCCGTTCCTGTCCGGAAGATCTCCCCAGTGTAGATGCTACACACCTCAAATTTCTCTAGCCTCCTCGTCGCCAGTAGGCCGAGTTCCCCTTCCGCTATGCTAGAGGGGCCTACCTTCGCCCCTTCCACCGTGCCGCCCGTCGTTAGCATGGCCGTCGTTACTTTCGCCGCCGCCTCTGCTGCTTGTCGGCGGAGCGCCTCGCGCCTTCCCTCGTCTCCATGCTCCTGGTCTTGTTCTTTTTGTTTTCCTGCGCTTCCTGTCGCTGGTCCGGCGACGTATCTTGCCGTCTGCCTTCGCTTCCTGGCGGGCCGCGTTTCCTTCCCCTCGTCCCGTTTGTTTTCTCCTGCGTGGTCGCCCTCGCGTGCGCCGCTCGCCGTCTGTTCTCCTCTCTGCTCGCCGTCCTCGTCCCCTCGCTGTCGTCGCTTCCCTCCGGCGCTCGCCGCATCGTCGTTCCTATCACCGCGTTTCCTGCGCTGGCCTTCGCCTTCGAGCTCGCAGTGGGTCGTTTTGAGTGTCATCCCCATCGCTCTCGTCGTTCTGCCTCTCCCCGCTTCGAGGCGTCTCTCTGCCTCTTCCCTTTCCTTCTCCTCGGCATCACGTTGTCGATGTCGCCTCCGTCGCCAGCAAATACACGCATTCGCCGCCCACTCCATTTCTCGTATCCTCTCCTTCCTTTCCTTCTGTCCCTCTCTCAGGCGTTCTGTTTCCGCGGCTACTCGTTCCTTCCTCTCCGCCTCGAGTCCCTTCCTCTTCCCTTCCCGTACTTTGATTATTGATGCCGCCCCACCGGAGGGGAGCTCAAAAAGAAAAAAGCCGCACTAGTGGAAAAAAAGGAAATACAACTCGATGCAAACTGGTGGCGGACACGCACCACACGCACTAGGACACGCAGCTCCCAGAGTGATAGGCCGCGCGCTCCGTCCGTGCTCGCGGCTGGTGCTCGGTCTCGCCCCGGTCCCCGCCCTCTCTAGAAGTCGTCGCGCTTCCAGTCCCACCGGGCCGGCTCCACGGCCCTGACCACCGCGGAGGCGCCTCGCCCAGCGCCGGCACCGCCTCGGGGCTCGACTCGCAGCCGGGTGCCCATCAGGTCGTCGATGAGGGAGAGGGCGGCTGCGTAGTTTCCGGTAAAGTACCGGTGGTGGTCGTCGTGGAAGCGCGTGCCTCCAAACCCAGGCAGCATCCCAAAGCAGTCGAGCGGCGCGGGCAGGTCATACCCGGAGTGGTCCATCACACCCTGCGCCTGCACGAGGGCGAGCCAGCACCACCAGGCGCGCACCGGCAGGCCGTACAGCCGCGCCCAGAGCAGAGGCCCCGCCATCGCGCCCGCGGCCTGCAGCGCCATTTCCGCCGGGTGCACCGCGTGGGACGTCCACGCGAAGGGCGCCGTGAACTTGTGGTGCGGCTTGTGGACACTCGCGTACAGCCACGGCACCTCGTGCAGCGTGCGGTGGTAGCAATAGAAGGAGAGGTCGTGCAGCACGAACCACGCCAACGCCGTGAACGGAGCGCTCGCCAGCGGCGGCGGCTGAGCGTCCGAGGGGAAGAGGAGCCGGAGCAGCGGCGACGCGGCGAGGACGGCCGGGAGCAGCCACGCAAAGTTGAGCACGACCATGCGCTTCGCAGCCGCGACGTCCTGTCGAGGCGGGCTCGGCTGGATGCGCCACCGCGTCGCGAAGCCGGAGCGGTCGAGGACGGCAAATGGGAGGCAGGCGGCGAGGTAGGAGCCGAGGAGGACGGCGTACGTGCCGACGCCGTAGTGGAGGAGGACAGAATAGCTCCACATGGAGGGTGCGAAATCGATAAACCGGCGTAGCCAGAGCCGGGCCGGGGAGCGAGCGAGAGTGCTCCACGTGCTTGGACGTACGACGCGTCCTGAGTGTGAACGGAGATTGGATGAGCGCCCGGCGAGATGGGTCCCGGAGAGGGTTCCGGTTCCCTGGGTGTGTGGGGGGGGGGCATGGGATCCGGAGAATTGGTTTTTTATATCTGCGATTAGCCTCCTGTCGGCATGCAGGGACTTCCGCTGACACTGCTGTTCGCTGGCGCGGTGGCCTGGCGCGCCGGCGTCGCCGCGCCCGCGAGGCCGAGCCTTCCGCACAGCCACCATCAGCGGCGCGGCTCGCCGCTCTCCTTTGCGGTGCCGCCTGACGGAGAGAGCGATGCGTTTGGGCAGGCTCCGCAAGCGCCGCAGCAGCAGCCACCTCCCTTTGTTTCGTCGGACGAGGATGAGCTGGCCGAGGAGGAGGAGGGCGGCGCGCTGACGGGGAGCGGTCCGGCCTCGCCGGACGAATGGGGACTCGTCCGGCGCGCAGCGCTCACCGTCGGCATGGTCGTGCCGGCGCTCGTCCTCGCGGCGTCACTGCAGCGCGCCGGCGAGAGGGCGATCAGCGAGGCGGACAGGCGAGCGATCGTGGAGGCGATCCGGGAGGACGTGGCGGTGCTGGAGGGGTACGCGGAGACCGCCGCCGCGTATCGCGTGCGGATAGGCCTTTGCGGCCGCGGCCGCGGAGGGGTAATTAGTTAATGGTTAATCAAGTGCTCGGGTGCGGTCGCATAGGCCTCGACGCGGATCGCGACGCCGGAGACGGCGAGGGGGGAGGGGGGAGGGGGAGAGACACCCGCCACGAGCAGCGCGTGCTCACAATCCTCCGGCTGTGGGTAGGCGACGGCGAGCGGTTGGTCGTCGCTCCCACGGCCGATTCGCCAGAGAGGCTGCGGTTGGCGGTGCAGGAGTACCGGAGGCCGTGGACAGAGACGCTGCCGTGGAGGAGGTGACAGGCGGAGGCAGGAGCGAGGAGGACGGTGCCGGATCTGGACAGCAGGACGTGGCGATGCCCCAAGTTGGGATGCGACACGGACATCTGCGACGGCCGACTGCAGCAGCGGCAGCGAGGCCTCCGCCGGCGCCGCGAAAGGCTACACCGTGCACGGGAGGGGTGGTGGAGGGGCGCGGGGGGGCGCCGGAGGCTGTGTCCTGTGAGCGGTTGCCTGTCGGCGCGCGCGCGCACAGCACTGCTCGCGACGGGTTCGGTTGATGCTCAGGCGAGGTGGTGCGGCATAGGTTGTCCTATTTGTACAGTTTACCAAAGCGCAAAATTCGAGCACTTGGAGCACTTGGAGTGCAGTCGGTAACCTCACATCCAGGGCCGGTGAGCTGAGAAGCGCATCCAGCGGGCCGGATGATCGGGATCGGGCTACGGGCTAGAGAGCCCTGACCCCTAGCTAGGGGGGTGCGCATTCGCAGGGCAAGGGCCTTAAAGTAAACACGGGTCTCCGAGGGTTAGTTCTGCGCTTTGGGTGTCCCCTAGCGGCGGAACGCCCCCTCTACTCGGAGCTAGTAAACACCAGACACTAGACACGTGAGCATGACGTACACTCTCACCCGACATCGCCACTCAGGGCTCCTCCGCCCGATCTCCCCACCCCCCATCCGAGGGGGCTCCCCTCTCCTCCCGGTCCTCCCTCCTGTTCGATTTCCGATGGTTCGGCGTCGGCTGCGGAGCCCGCCTTCCCCTCTTATACTTCTTCGACCGCGGCCTCGCCGCCGTCTCGTCTTCGGGGGCTATTCTTGTTGCCTCCGCCTCCGGCGATCCCGTGCCCGACTCCTCGGGCGAGGGCGGCGGCATTCGATCGCCACGCCGCCCCTCCCCGGGGGGTGGGGCCAGCTCTCTTCGGACGAGGACTCGCGCCCGCCCCCGCGGTCTCTCTATCGTCCTCGGCTCGTCCGCGATGGCGATGGCGATGGCGGTGGCGACGGAGGGGGAGGCGGGTACGAAGGGGGCGGCGGGGACGGTGGCGGCGGAGAGGGAGGCGGGGGGGAGGGTCGATGGGTGGGCGGTCTTGGTGGAGGTGGCCAGGGAGGGGGTTGCAGAGGCGGCGGCAACGGAGGAGGTGGAGGAGAGGGGGGCGAGGGTGATGGTGAAGGTGGCGGCGACGGCTGTGGAGAGGGAGGCGGCGGAGGAGGCGGGGGGGTTGGTGTCGGCGGCCACGGATGAGGTAGCGGCGGTAAAGAAAGAAAGAAAGAAAACACACAACCCAAGGGAGGGATGGGAGAACGGCACGCCGCCACCACACAGGGATTTTAAGGAGAGGAGTGTGGTGCGCTAGCCGTCGCCCACCCTGGGGAGTCTGCCTCTTCGTATCTCTTTTCGCAGTCTCTCGCCGCTTCTCGCTGCAACCTTCATGCCACCTCGCGGCCGTCCCACTCTCGTCGGTCTCTCCCTTGTCACTTCCTCCTCTGTCGCGTCGTTCTCTTCTGCCTCGTCCTGCGACGCCGCCGCCTGCCGGTCCCTTGTTCTCGCGGCTTCTTTCGCCTTGCGCAACTCCGTCCTCCTCGCGGCGTATCCTGGCCCCTCGAGTCTATCAAGCTCCCCTCGCGCAAGGACCACATTTCTGACTCCCACTCCGATCATTTGCCTACACGTCATGTTGTTGCTCAGGTCCACTCTCTCTTCGAACACTCGTGCCTCTACGGATGATGCCGGCGCTGGGGTCCCCTTCGGGTGCATCGTGACATCTGACAACTGAATTTCCACTGGTTCGTCCTCCCCCGAGTCATCTTCCCCGTCCTCCTTCCGCTCGGCCCTTCGCTCGGTACGTTCGGTGTGGCTCACCCTCCATGCCGTGAACAGGCGCTTTATCCACCCTATATTCTTCTCTCGTTCCTCTGCCCTTGCCTTGGTCTTGTCGTTGTTTCGCACCCATGTCTGTATGGCAATCGAGGCTGCCTTCCCCACTACCTGAAGTTCACTCGTCACCTCTCCCGCGAGCTCCCTTCTCTTTCTTTCGGGTATGGAGTCCGTGAGTGCGGGTAGCGTGCAGGCAATCACGGGTGCTATTTTGTCGTACTCCTCTTCGGCGAGCGCCCCAAATCTAGACCCTTTCGCCTTTAAGGAGGCTGCCCTCGCTCGTCTCAGGAATGTGGCGGTGTCTTTTGAGTCCGGCGCCTCCCGTTCAACTCTTGCTGTCGCCCTCGCTGTGTGTTTGTCGAGCTTCCGCATGAAGTGACGCGCCTCTTCCTTATTTCCAGCGCAGCTGCCGCTCAGTATGTGCGCCAACGACGCCTGTGGTGGCTCATTGTCTTCTTGTTTCCAGTCGTCCCAGTCTTTCAGTTCCCCGCGTCTCCTCCTTGCCTCGCGCGCCTCTTTTGCGACCTCATCCCTAGCCGCTTTGCACGCTCTGCATCCCCAGAACGCACTTCTCGTGGCGGGGCCCCTCATTCCCCGTTTCTTTTCCCCCTCTAGAATACGCCTGTGGTGTTCCCCATGTGGCACCCCGACCTGTTGTCTCACCCTGGCCCCCAAGATCGTTTTGGTCGTCACATTGTGATCCCCGACGTCGTCAAATGTCGCCCGCCTGTCCTTCCCCCCGTTCTCGTCTGGTAATCTCATCTTATTATCCCATCGATGCTTGAGGCTGGCTACTGCCACTTCGCTCCACAACCGTCCCGCCACCCCTGCCGTGTGCGACCCCGGCCTCACTGTCTTTCGATATTGCTCGCACACCCACTCGTGCGCGCTCTTACACATGTGTCCGTACGTCCGTCGGTCCACTATCTCCCTCTTCTCTGCGTTCTCTGCCGCCTCCCTTCGCACCGTGTACATGCATGGCCGCGTCCGCACCGCTTCCCGCACCACTTTCGAGGCGTCCTCCGTGTCGTTATCCCCGAGGTGTGCTGTCGCCACCGCGTCGGCGTAAGCGTTGCAGGCTATTCCCACGTGTGCTGGCACCCACATGAAGACCACCGCCTCTAGCTTCGATCTATAGTAAGCGATCGCCTCCAGCAGGTAGCGGCGGTAACGGCGAAGGAGGGGATCGACAATTTCTTTTTCAGGTGTGCCGGTGATAGTACTAGCACGCGCCAGTTCGCACCTGTGTCGAGCCTGTCTGCTGTGAGAGAGAGTTCTTTTGTTTAAATTCTTTTTCAGAGAAATCGCACGTCTCGGCGCTGCCCGCCTCTCAATCTTCGCAGCCGCCCAAGCGCCATGCCTGCTGAGCCTGCCGCCGCGCACGCGGCCGAGAAGCCGCCGCTCACGTCGGACTACCTCGACTGCGCTCAGCTCCGCTTCTCCCTCGGCTGCACCACCGTGGCCGACAAAGCGCCGCTCAAGGCGCAGGTACGTGCTCGGGCGGCGCAGAGACCGCACGGGCCGTCGCCCCCGCCGTCGTGGCCGCCGCGGCACGGCCGCGCCTTGGCCTCGCGCCCTCGCCGCCTCTCCGCCGCGCCACGCCTCACCAGCCTCAGCGAGGAGACCTGACACCGCCCGCCCGCTCCGCCCCGCCCGCTCGCCCGCAGCTGCTGAAGCAGATCGAGGAGAAGGAGATGGCGCCCTTCTACCGCGCCACCTGCGAGGCGCTCGGCTGGGAGGCGACCGCACCGCTCGCGCAGCGGCGGAGGAGGAGCCTTGTGCGCCCCTTCTTGGGACCTTCTCGAGACTTTCTCTCTGCAGGCGGATGCCGCTCTGCTCGCGAAGCTGGAGGCGGCCAACGCGACGGAGCTGGCGCGGCTGAGCGACGCGATCAAGACGGCCGAGGAGAGCGGGGGGAGCGCGGGGTGTGTGGAGCGGCGCTTTGTGCTCACGCCCTCTCTTGCTGTGACCAGGAGAGCGAGGGGGAGTCGGAGATTTGCAGCGCGATGCTGGCAAAGGCGGAGCTCCTGGTGCGGACCGGGAGGGTGCGCTCAAGACAGCAAGAATGAGGGTGGGGACGCTGCTGACAGGCGGAGTTCCTGATGCGGATCGGGGAGCGGGCTAAGGCGCTCGCGGCGCTGGAGGAGACGTACGCCAAGACGGTCGGCTCTCGGAGCAGCGGCCGCTCTGCAATGTGCCTTCCACCGGTCAATCGTTTGAAGTGCCCCACAGGTCCGCAGCGTGTGGGCCTTCTGCTTCAGTAGTTGGCCAGTGATAACTGAGGAGTCTACTACTGGCTGCACAGGTCGGCCTCGGCCCGAAGCTCGACCTCCTCCTTACCAAGCTGAGGCCCGCTCTCTCTTCCCTCGTCGACGAGGAGCTACGTGCGTTCTTTAATGATTAAAAGTATCAATTGATCAGGCTCGCTCTCTCTTCCTGCATCAGCAAGGAGCTGACGCGTGTTACTTATGTAGTGATTACTACTCATTGACCAATCAGGCTCGCCCTCTTCTTCGACGACAAGAAGCTGACCGCGGACACCATCGACGCTGCCAAGGGCCTGCTCGACCAAGGCGGGGACTGGGAGCGGAGGAGCCGCCTCGAGGTGCACGGTGTGGCCGTCTGCGAATTAATGCTTAAGTAGTGGCTGGGAGTGAACAGGAACCGGCTCAAGGTGTACGAGGCGGTCTTCCACATCTCGACACGCTCGTTCAAGAAGGCGGCGGACCTCGACTCACCTATGAGTTATTAGTTACTATTAATTTTTAACCAAGTATTCACCAACAGGCGGCCGAACTCTGCTCCTCGACTCTCCACCTATTAGCTATTAATTACGAAGTATGTATTAATCAGCAGGCGGCCGACCTGCTCCTCGACTCGGTCGCGACCTTCACCGCGACGGAGCTGATCTCGTACAACACACTAACTAGGAATGAATTAATAATTAATTAATCAGGTCGCGACCTTCACCGCGACGGAGCTGATCTCGTACAACACACTAACTAGGAATGAATTAATGATTAATTGATCAGGTCGCGACCTTCACCGCGACGGAGCTGATCTCGTACAACACACTAACTAGGAATGAATTAATGATTAATTGATCAGGTCGCGACCTTCACCGCGACGGAGCTGATCTCGTACAACACGTTCGTGCTGTACACCGTCACCACGTCGCTGCTCTCGCTGCCGCGCGCCGACCTCAAGAGCAAGGTCATTAGTAATAATTAAAAATTAATAATTGATACTGGAGCGCCGACCTCAAGAGCAAGGCGAGGACTGATGAATAATTAAGTTGATAGTTAATACTAGTGCGCCGACCTCTAGGAGAGAGCAAGGCGAGGGAATAATTAAGTTGATAGTAATTAATACAAGAGCGCCGAACTCAAGAGCAAGGCGAGGAGGATCTCTGAATGATTAATTATTAATTATTAATGACTATTCAAGTAGTAATGAAGACCTCAAGAGCAAGGCGAGGAGGATCGCTGAGTCATACTCAGTCCGTGGCTCTTCTGTGTAACGACTCGCTCTCTGCAGGTGAGAGAGCAGTCACACTTGACTGTGACTCAGCTGTCTCAGCAGTGTCCTCTCGCTCCCTGCAGGTCATCGATGCGCCCGAGATCCTGCAAGTGTTGGGCGAGATCCCGCACCTCGCCAACCTGCTCAACGGGCTGTACGAGTGCCGCTACCGCTCGCTGATGGAGGCGCTCCTCGGGATGCGTTCATCAAGTAGTTGTGATCGATTGGTGACAAGTTGAATGGGTTGTTGTTATTGCTGCGGAGGCGCTCGTCGGGATCGTCGACTCGCTCTACGCCGACCGGTACATGCACGCGCACACGCGCTTCTACTGGAGGGAGCTGCGGGTGCCCGCGTGCAGCCCGGGTCCTCGAGCCGCTCCTTAGTCAAATAGTTAACGAATTGTTAATTCACCGCCAGGTGCTCGCGTACAACCAGTTCCTCGAGTCGTACCGCTCCGTCTCCCTCGCCGGCATCGCAGCCTCCTCTTGAGAGCCTCTCTCCTGACGGAACAGCAGATCACTCACCGGAGCCCTGCCGCAGGCATGGCGACCTCCTTCGGAGTCTCGGCGGACTTCCTCGACAAGGTGCGCTCCGGCTCCAGTCATAGCTAGTCCTTGATCGAGGGTTCACAATTCACATTTGATTTGGAAAGGAGCGCTCCGGTTTCAGTCATAATGAATCCTCGGTAATGGTCAAACATTTGATCTGGCAAGGAGCTCTCCGGCTTCATCGCGGCGGAGCGGCTCTCGTGCAAGATCGACAAGGCCCGCCGTGGCCGCCAGGCGGGCGGTGCCGGCAGAGACGCTCATCTTTGCGAGACTGTGCTTCTCAGGTGAACCTGGTCGTCTCGTCGATTAATTAAGTATTAATTATGAACTTCACGTAATTAGCTTAATCTCAGGTGAATCTGGTCGTCTCGTCGACGCGGCCCGACAAGCAGTCGGCCCAGTTCCACTCGGCGATCAAGCAAGGCGAGATCTGCACGAGAGTGCTGCGAGATTGTTGCGAGATTGTGCCCAGTTCCGAGATCAAGCAATGCGAGATCTGCACGAGAGTGCTGCGAGATTGTTGCGAGATTGTGCCCAGTTCCGAGATCAAGCAATGCGAGATCTACGCCGCAAGAGCCGCTCGAGAGGGTGGCCGAGATTGCGCCGAGATCAAGGGCCGAGCAACCGGTTTCGGACGCCAACTCAGCTGCTCAGCGAGTTCGCTGCTGCCCAGGCGACCTGCTCCTCAACCGGCTAATGAACTATTAATTAACTATTAATTAGGCGACCTGCTCCTCAACCGGCTGCAGAAGCTGTCGCGCGTCATCAACGTCTGACGACGCCCGACGGAGGCGAGGCACGCCCCCGCGCGAAGTTGGGCGACGCGCAATCCGCAGGGCTGCGCTTCGCGACTTGCGCGCCCCCTTCCCGTCTTGAACGCTTGTTCTCTCCAACTGTTATGTCTCTGCCGTGCACACATGCACACGGCGTGCCTCGAACCGCCCGGAGTGTCTGTTGCCGCATGCAATGGCTGTCACACCCCGTTCCGCTGGAGAACACTTAGTCGGAAGGTGTCCGGGAAAAGGTGATTTTGCTGTTGCGATTCACTCAAGGCGTTTGCTTTTCCTCCGGCTCTCAATGAAATCATGTCGCTCCAACCTCACTCGCCCCCGCCCGAAAAGTCAAATGCGCGCGCCGCGCCGCGGGCTCGCTCAAATAGTACATACGGCTTTATGCTCTACCCCCCCCCCCCCCTCCCCCCCTCCCCTCCACCCCTCAATCATGGGTACCCGCCCGCCGCTCCGTGCAAGTGCTGCCACCTCTCCCATTGCATGCGGCGTGGACACAGCTCTTTTGTGCTCTCGCTAAGAGTGCTGCCTCTCACGCGCCGGGCAGCGGGGAGGGGAGGGGGAGCCCGAGCCGCTCGGCGGTCTGCCGCGCCTCCTCCAGCGAGATGTACTCCACTCCCTTCCCGTCACGCAGCCGCACCGCCCGCCGCCCGTCCGCCTTCCACCTGACGCCCTCGCCGACGCGCGCATCCTGCTTGCAGAAGCCCGACTCCACGTTGCCGCTGGCGAACCCGAAGACGCCGCGCCCCTCCCTCTCACCCGCCTTGAACTCGCCCTCGTAAGGGTTTGGGGCCGTTTTGCTAAAAATCGAGCAAAGTCAGCTCCGCCTCAGCGCGTTGCACTCATAGCCCTCGCTCATCGCCACTTGCGCACGGCTGTTCGTGAGCGTGACGCAGCGCATATGCCACTCCCGGCTTCGGCGAAGTGAAGGGCGTCAGGGCTGTCAGCCAGGGGGGGCGACCCTCGTAGCGTCATCCTCGATCGTACACACACGCCGGCAGCCGATGCACCCCGACTCGCTGGTCGACACGCAGGGCTTCTGGCCTCTGCCCCACGCGCGATGCCCCACTGTGAGACCCGGTCGCCCCACACCAGCAGCCTATGCACACCATAGTTCGGCAAAACTCCACGCGCGAAATGGATCGCAGCTAGAGAAAGTGGACCAACTTGGGCAAGGCTCTAGTCGCCGCTGCCCATCGCAGAGCCCAAACCCTCGTCTCAGAGCCGATACTACGACCCGGCGCGCGGGATCTGAAGCTAGGAGGCCTGGGTCGGGGCTATCAGTGGGCTACATGCCGCCTGCCGCGGCTCCTAGGTCCACGAAACGCTCGCGCTTCACCCTCCCCCCCCTCTGACGATAGGTGCCTGCGTCGCGCGCTCACCGGCAGAGAGGCACACGGCGGGCGATGGCGGCGCGCGGCGACGCTCCTGACTCAATGGAAGGTCGCCCACATACCCACCCTCACCACAACGCCGTAGGCGGGTCGAGACTGCCCTCCACCCGCTCGCGCTTGCCTCCCCTACCCGACCGGTTCAGCTCCCTGTAGATGGCGGCCGACACACCTTCACTGCGGCGCTTCTGCCCGCGACAGCGGCGCCTGAGCGCGTGGGGCTGCAAGGCCCCTCGGGACGGCCCGCGGGGCGGCGGGAGAGAGCTCTCCCGCCGTCGTGGCGCACCATATCACCCGTAGACGCCTCTTTATAGTCGCCTTTTAGCACCTCCTCTCTACACGCCGCCGAGTAGACCCCGCCGCACCGCATCACCGCCCCCTTCCCTGCCCCGTCGCCCTCCTGAGCTCTCCCCCCTTTGCTCCAGCCACTCACAGGACGGCTGGGCCATCGGCCCGCGTGACAGGCGCCCGGGACGGCCGGGGAGCGGCTCCGTATTTTGAGCCCTCTCGGGCCACCCTCGCGCGCGTCCACCGGCCGGCAGAGCACCGCTTGGGCGACTCAGACGGCCCGCCCGACCAGCGCCCTCGATCGTGCCGCGGCCACGGCGTCAGTGGCGGGCTGGGGGGGGCAGACGGCGTCCGCGCACCCCTCGTGGGGGTGACCACCGCTCTCCTCTCACCTCTCCCCCCCCGCCCGTGGCACCCCACGCACGTCCCTCCTCAGGGGCGCAAGGCGGCACGTTCAACGCTTGCCTCGGCCCACCTCGCCATCACCCCCGCCGCCGCGACCAAGGAGGTGGCCTCGGCGGCCCAGACGAAGCCCGTGCGGCTCGTTTGGGAGCCGCGCGCCGTCCCTCTCTCGCCCGCGCTGCTCGCCACGCCGAAGCCCACGTCCCTCCGGCCGCAGGCGCCGCCAAGGAGTGACCAGCGCCCCTCCCGAGCACCTTCCCGGCGGGCAGCGCCTCCGTAGCGGCGCTGGCGGCCCCTGCGAGCCGGCCGGCGCCACGAGTGAGTATTCGAAGGCGCGCGCGTCCCCTCTCTCCCCGGCCCGCCGCGTCTCTCTGACCACCCCTCCCCCTCCCGGGTCAGGCGTGCATCGGGCGTACAAAATGGCCGCGGGGCGAGCTCCAGCGAGGCTGTCTCTTTGGCCCGAGCGGTGGGTAACTCCCTGGCCGGGCTCAGGCCCTCTCGGGCTGCTGCGAGCTGCGCGATGCGAGTCCCCTCCGCCGCACGGCCGTGCCCCTGCCCCTCACACTCCGACTCCGCCGCAGGACCGGTCTGGCGACCCGGAACGACCGCCTAGAGCAGCATCATCGACCATCCCGACCCCGTGGGGGCCGGGGCGGGCCAGCCAGACGTGAGAGCGCCCCTCCCCCCCTCTCGCGGCGCGTCCCCTCCTTCCTCCCCGCACCCCGCCACCCGGCTCGCCGCCCCGTCGCCATCGCGAGTCAGCCCTCGGTCAGGTACTGCCAAAGGCGGCCGCAAGCAGCACCATCGCTACCAGCGCCACCGTGCCGGCGCTGGTGAGCTCTGCGGCCCGTGTAGCGGCCCCTTAGCCCGTCGCCCGGGCACATGGCGCCCTCACACCGCTCCTCGCCCCCGTCTCGCAGGCCAAAATCGTCGACATCGCGTCGGCACTCTCTACGGCGCGCCTGGGCTTGCAGAGGGCGGCTTGGGCGGTGCAGGGTGGCTGGGCCGCCCCCCTCCCGCGGTGCGCCAAGCCTCGGGGGTCGGGGAGACCATCTCGGGTCGCCGAGGGGGCGGGTCGGACGCCCGATCCGGCTGCTGGCCGGAGGACGTCGCCGGCTCCGCGATTTTGGGCGCCCCAGGCGCCTCCAGCCGGGCCGAGCGGCGCCAGCTGGTAGCTGGGGCCGCAGGGCGGTCGGGACAACACCGTATGCTTGTCGGGGTGGATTGTCTAGGGGCGTAAAGTTCGGTAGAGTGTCCGTTTGTGGCCTCCGGACGGGCTCTGGTCGGGAGCCCGCCGGGCCGGCTGACGGCGATCTCAGGCGAATACCTCTTTCGGACACAGCAAAAAAAACGTGCTCGTCTTCGAAACCGGAGGCTGTGTATCTCACTGTGTATCCACTGTGTATCCAGACTGAGTGTGGATTCACGTGTATCCTGTGTGTCCAAACACCCCCCCGTGTGTATCTAACACCTAGGGCCGAGGTGGGGCTCTTGCGTACCTTCCGTAAAAGGAGGACTCTGCTGGACAGGGTTTGCGATGAGGAGCGACCCGATGGGTTTCTTGGAGGTTAGTGCACCACATTTTCCCCGGTGTACCTGTGTTAGTGCCAGTGCGCGCCAGTCCCGTGCCCACGGCCCCCGAATTCTTTTTCGGAAACAAGAAAACGCTGGCCGCCGGCCGCTGTCGCTGGCGCCCGCTCTTCCTCGACACCGGCGCCGCTGGCCATCCCGCATGATCCCTCCGCTGCTGATCCCGCGGCGACTGCTGCACGCGCTGCTGGCCATCCCGCTCGGCCGGTGCATCGTTCTCGCGCTCGAGACCGCGATTGCCGTCTGCGTCGCCTTTTTCCTCTCGACCGCCCGCTCGACTGTGCGCCTTTCTGCGGCGCTTCTGGACGCGCAACCGCCGCCGCCGCCGCTGCTTTCAGCGTCGGACGTGGTGGCGCACCTTCCGCTCGTGGCGCGCTTCTTCATCTTTTACTTTCCGCTCGGCCAGTCAATCGGAAAGCTCACCACCGCCCTCCTCGCCCTCGGGCTGCAAGTGCGTTTCTGGACTCGCCGTTCCTACACCTCATAGACGAGACACCACACGGGTCGCAGCTGACTCGCACGCGCGTCGCGCCGAACAGTGCTCGCGATTCCCCTTCTTGTGAAGCAGGTGCCTCGCACAGTCGCTTCGGCGAGCGTCGCCCTGCTCCTCGCGCACTGCGCTCTGCTGCCGCCAGGCTAACCTCTAACCCTAACCCCATACCCACCCCGACCCCAACCCCGACCCCAACCCTAACCCTAATCCCGACCCCACCCCCTACCGCCAGGCTCTCCCCCGCCGCTCGAAGCCGCCTCGTGGGCGCCGTACGCCCGCTCCCCTCTGCACGAGGCTCGGACATGTCCCGGACATGTCCTGGACATCTCCTCCAGGCGCCGTACGCCCGCTCCCCTCTGCACGAGGCGGCCTCCGCAGGCGACAGCCCCGCCGTCCTCTCTCTGCTCGCGTCTGGATCAGACCCGAACCGCGGTGTCTGGCTCGGCTCTTGCGGCCTGCTGCTCTCGGAGGACATGTCCGGGACATGTCCGGGACATGTCCACAAGGTGTCTGGCTCGGCCCTTGCGGCGTGCTGTACTCTGCCACGCCTCTCGCCGCGGCGGCTGCAGGCGGGCACGGCGGCGGAGGCGGAGGGAAGGGGTTCGCGGAGTACACTTGAGAGGGGCTGGGCTACAGGCGGTCACGCGGCGGTGGCGGAGGCGCTGCTGGCTAGCGGCGCCGACCCGTCCTTGCAGCGACCCCCTCGCTTGGAAAAAAGAGTGTAACGCCTCCCTCCTCTGCGCGTAGGCGCAGACCCGTCCTTGCGGCGAACCATCGGCCCGTGCGGCCTCGCGTCCTCCTCGCCGCCGCTGTACATTGCGGTGAGGGCGACGGAGGTGGCGCCGGAGGGGGGCGAGGCGGTGGCGGCGGCGCTGCTGCGCGCGGGCGCAGACGCGGCGGAGGCGCACACCGTGGCTATGGGCGCGTCTGCAGCAGGGAGGCGGCTCTGGTGTGTGTGTGTGGACGGCGTCTCTTCACACCTCGGCGGTGTGAACCAGGCGTGTTGGTGCGGGAGGCGGCGCTGGTGGCGGCGGCGGCGCTTGCGGCGACGTGGAGAGCGAGGCTGTCGATCGCTTGTGAGCGGCGTCGCTTGATGGCTGCCGGTGTGAGCAGGCGCCGCCACGCGAGGAGAACGAGCTGCTCCCGGTGAAGCGAGCGGAGGAGGAGGTGGAGGAGGAGGAGGCGGAGGAGGCGGAGGGCGAGGAGGAGGCGGTGGCGGTGGAGGCGGAGGCGGCGGTGGCAGAAGCGGCGGCGGCGGAGGCGGTGGAGGAGGCAGGGGAGGCCGAGGCGGCGCAGGTGGCCTCTTCGATGAGCGGCGGCAGGGGCGGCGGAGGCGGCGGAGGCGGCGGAGGCGGCGGAGCGTCTGCGCCTCCCTTCCCAGCGCCGTGATGAAGTTGAGTTGAGACGCGTTGGCCTTTAGTCTGGCCAACCTTGCGGACGCGCGCGGCAGCCGCGGCGACGGTGCGCCGCTTGAAGCTCGCCGCCAGCCCCCCTTTCCCTCTCCCCTAGAGCGGTCAGTGGCGGAGGAAGGGGAGGTGTGGCAGTGAGAGTGAACGGACTCAGGTTCGCCTCTTGCTCGCCTACCCCCTACCCCCTACCCCCTACCCCCTACCCCCTACCCCCTACCCCCTACCCCCTACCCCCTACCCCCTACCGGACTCAGGTCCGCACCTTGCTCGCCTCCGGTGCCGACCCCTCCTCGCCCTCGACGCGGCTGTCCGGGGTCATCGCGAGCGGCGCTAGTCCCATCTGACCGCTGCCGTGCCTTGACCCCGTCCCTCACTACGCCATGCCTCACTTTCTTGTTTGTCAGGCACGGCGCTGTCTGCCGTGTGCCGCGCCGGGTCAGCCTCGGAGGCGAGATCTAGCCGAGATCTAGCCGAGATCTACCCGAGATACAGCCGAGATGTACCCGAGATACAGCCGAGATGCAACCGAGACATATCAGCAGAACGCGCTTCGGTTCACACCTCGCACCGCCTCTCCACACCTCCGCCTCTCCACACCTCGCACTCTCCACACCTCGCTCTCTCCACACCTCGCTCTCTCCACACCTCGCACTCTCCACACCTCGCACTCTTCACACCTCGCACTCTTCACACCTCGCTCTCTTCACACCTCGCACTCTTCACACCTCGCACTCTCCACACCTCGCACTCTTCACACCTCGCACTCTCCACACCTCGCTCTCTCCACACCTCGCACTCTCCACACCTCGCTCTCTTCACACCTCGCACTCTCCACACCTCGCACTCTTCACACCTCGCACTCTTCACACCTCGCACTCTCCACACCTCGCACTCTCCACACCTCGCACTCTCCACACCTCGCACTCTCCACACCTCGCACTCTCCACACCTCGCACTCTTCACACCTCGCACTCTTCACACCTCGCACTCTTCACACCTCGCACTCTTCACACCTCGCGCTCTTCACACCTCGCACTCTTCACACCTCGCACTCTTCACACCTCGCGCCCGGGGGTGGCAGGCCCTCCCTCTCGCGCTGCCTCTCCTCGCCGCCGGCGCGGACCCGAACACGCTGGCGTGGAACTTCGGGGCGAAGGCGAGATGCCTCGATCAGTGAATCATGCCTCGGTCAGTGAAGAGTAACAGTTCTCAATTAAGACGCTGGCGTGGTACTGCGGGGCTAAGGCGGCGCCAGCGCTGCCCGCGTGCCTCGACGCAATGCTCGGCGCGGCGGCGGCGCGGCGGCGGCAGCGGCGGCAGGTGGCGAGGGAGGCGGCGGAGGCGGCGGAGGCGGTGGAGGCGGCAGGGGCGGCGGGGGCGGCGGAGGCGGCGTGGGCAGTTGGGAGGAGGAGAGCGGTACGGCGGCTGGCCCGCTCGGGGCGAGGGGTCGGCGGAGTTGGCGGCGGGAGGAGGGAGGGGCGGGAGGAGGAGGAGGCGAGGGAGCGGGCGGCGGAGGCGGTGGCTGCTGCAATGATCAGGATGTCGACTGGTGGTTGAAGTAATAGGAGGAGGAGGAGGCGATCGAGCGCCTGGCGGTAGCGATGCTGTCCGCGGGCGCGCAGGCGCACTTTGCTGTTGAGGGCCGACGGCGGATGGTACTTTCTCGGAACGTTCCCGCAGGAGCCCGCTCCTTTTGCTCCTCAGGCGCACTTCACGTTTGAAGGCCGACTCGGCTTCTTCGGCGCAGTGCCGTCGTGGAGACGGCAGCAGCCTTCCAGTGAGCTGATCAGCGAGAGGTTTGAGTCCTTCAGGCGCAGTGCAGTCGTGGACACGCCAGCTGCTCGCCAACTCAAAGTGCGCCCTCCTCTTCCGCACCTCGCGCCTCGCACCCCCGCTTGGTCACACCGCACCTCTTCACACCCGCTCCTCGCTTGTTCACACCGCACCTCTTCACACCTACCAGCTGGGCCCACCCCGCCGCTTGTTCACACCGCGCCTCTTCACACCTACCAGCTGGGCCCACCCCGCCGCTTGTTCACACCGCACCTCTTCACACTTCGCAGGTGGGTCCACCCCGCCGCCGTGGCTGCGACGCACTGCTGGGCGAGAGGTAGCCGAGACGCAGCCGAGAGATAGGCGAGGTCCGCTCCAGCGCGTTGCTCGTGGCGCACTCGCTGTGAAGAGTTCGACACACCCCATGCCCATTCCTGCACCAGCCGAGCCCCCACCCCTCCGCCTCCGGTGTGAAGAGACGTCTCTTCACACCTCCAGCTGTGAACAGGCCAGCCCCCTCCCCTCCGCAACTGCCTTCGCCCCCCGCCTCGCCTCCTCCCGCCACCGGCCTGTCAGTCCGAACGGGACGCTGCTGCCTGTGCCGCCGCCGCGCCGCCCGCCCGCCGCGTGCCGCTTGTTTGAGGCGCTGATCGGCGGCGGCGGTGCCGGCGCGGCCCTGCAGCGGGGCGAGGGGGCGGGAGGGTGGTGCGGCGGCGGGGCGGGCGGGCATGGCTGCGTGCCGCGGCTGCAGAACGGTCTGCCGTCGGTGGCGAGGAGGGCGTGGGGGAGGGTGTGGAGCTGTGAACAGGGAGGTCCAGCTGTGAATAGGCTCGACGTCGGTGGTGTGGAGGGCGTGGGGGATGCAGCTGCAGCTCTACGACCCCCTCACCAACGCAGCCGCCGACGCCGCCGCCCGGCCGACGCAGCTGTGAACGGCGCCTCTTCACAGCCGCGGGGTGTGAGCAGGCGACCACCTATGCAGTCGACTTGCCCGAGCACGCCGCCACAGCACTCACCGCGGCCTCCTACATCCTCCTCCTCCTCGCCGCCGCAGTTATCGCCACCATCTCTCTACGCGCCCCCGCCGCCGTCCGTCCGCACGCAGCCGTGAACGGCGCCTCTTCACGGCGGTGTCGCTGTGAATAGGCGCACCGCCACCCGACGAGCCGCCCTACCCGCTCGGACACTACCAGGCGCACGCCCCACACTTCGGTTGCACTTCGGCCGCACTTCGGCTGCACCTCGGCTGCACTTCGGCTGCACTTCGGCTGCACCTCGGCTGCATCGCAGCCGCATCTCGGCCACACTGTTGCGTAGCCGGGGGCGAGTTGCACCTCGGCTGCACCCTCTGGCCGCACCCCATCCCCCGGCCGCTACGCCCAGGCGCCGCCGCCGCAGCCGAGGGCTCGCGCGGACGCGGCCGGCTTGGCGCGGGAGCGGCGCATGCTTACGGTCGAGCAGAGGAGGAGGAGGCGGCGGCGGTGGGTGCGGGCGCTGCGGCACTGGGGTTGCCGCGCTCTGGCAGGGCTGCTGCTGCTGCTGCTGCTCGCGGCCGCCTTCGCCGCCGTGTACGCGCTGGCGCTAGGGCTGGTGCTGCTGCTGTCGCAGGCGGCCGTGCACGGACCCGCGCTCTACCGCACCGTCTCGTCGCTGCGCAACTACTCGCCACACGCCGTGCTGAGCGCCGGCGTGCACGCCGCGTCGCTCGGAGCCGCTCCCGGCGCGGGATGACGCATTCGCAGGTAGGCTGCGGACCGGTGTTTTGCGGGGCCCAGCAGCCCGCACGCAGGATGACGCGCGTCGCATGGCGTGTACCGGTTACAACCGAGAGCGATGTGTCGTTGCGTTGTGGTTTGACGGGCGCGGATCATGTTCTTTCTGTACCCAGCGCCCCGCTGTGCTGGGGGGCGTGTGCTCTGTGCTTCTGCTTGAAATTGTGGTCATTGTACGTGATCAGTGAGAGTCTCTAGCATCCATCCCCCCCCCCCGCCGCCGCCGCCGCCGCTGCCCCCCCGCGCCCGGCGTGCGCCGACGCCGCGCGCGGAGACCCCTTTGCTTGAAAGCGCCAGCGCGTGTGGCCGCGTACCTTAGCTAAGATACGCGCGCACGGGCGTGGGTGGGTAAAAACGGGTCACTTTGCGGGGTTTGCCGAGCGTGACTGCCTCATCGCGAGCCGCGGTTGAGCAGGAAGCCGCGGTTGAGCAGGAGCCGCTGTTGAGCGCTGTTGAGCACACCGCTGTCGCCACCTCTCCGGAGAGCCGACGCCTAAGGAGAAGTACGTGATGCCGAACAGCGCCGCTACCGCCACCTCCGCGGAGGAGTACCTGTCCTGCTGGCGCGGCCCGCTCGAGCAGCGCCTTCGCAAGGCGGTCGGCAAGGCGCTGGCCGAGCAGCCAAAGGACCCGTGCACTGCCGTCGCGCTCGAGCTCTTGCACGGGACCAGCCTCGAGGAGAGAGCGGCCGCTCTCTCCGCCGCGCAAGCAGAGCAGGAGGACGGTCCTCAGGACGACTTTGCAGGTCGACCTTTCCGGCCCGCTGCCTCCGCCACCCGCCACCACCGCCTCTGGCACCGCCGCCCCACGCTCTGTCACCCACGCACCGCTCCCGCCTGCCTCAGCCGCACCTCCCATTCCACCACCATCTCTCGCGCGCGACCCGGCCACCGTTCGCATCCCGATGCCTACTCACAGTCGCGCTCTCCCCGGTGCAGGAGATGCTCAAGTGGGCTGCACCGCCTCCAAGAACAACGAGACGGAGCTGCGCAAGCTCAGGGACGAGATCCAGTCGCTCAAGGAGCACCACTCGCTCAAGCAGGACGAGAACCAGTCGCTCAAGGACGAGATCCAGTCGCTCAAGGACCAGCTCAACAGCGTCAGCACGCCGAGCGCCGCCACTTTGCCCGAGGGGGACGTGATTCTGCTCGAGGAGGCCAAGAGGGCCTCTGCTACCGCTGCAGCCTCGCTGCCCAAGCTCACCGCCGCCGACCACAAGGGCATCCCGCTGCTGGCGGCCCTCGACGAGGCGCTCGTCGCCGCCCTCCACTCCGGCGCCATCAAGCTGCTCCGCGCCGAGTTCCTGCGCGCCGACGGCTCCGAGGCGGTGCTGCCCGAGCTCCTCCGCCGGCAAGAGCTGGAGCGGTTGGAGGAGGAGCGACGCATCCGCATCTTCCTCACGCCGGAGGAGGCTGTTGCGGCGCTGCGCTCGCTGAGTCGCGAAGTCGCCGGGCTGACCTACGGCTGGGCCTCGCCGGACCACCCCGACGTGACCGGAGAGTATCTGGCGAACGTGCGGCGCTTCCTGCGCCACCCGCTCGGCGAGCACGTGACCGCCCTCTTCTGGGAGTGCGCCACCGCCCCAGACCCACCCCAGACCTAGTGGCTGCGCCGCGTGGGAGGACAGGCCTTCCCTCTGCGCCTATCGATCACGTGTCGCTTCTCTCACACTCTGCCGCCCCCCCCCGTGCGCCCCCCCTCCGCAGCTTCTCTTCGCTCCCGCAAAAGCCAAGGACGGCGGCAGAGGACGATTTCTTCTATCAAGCCCTCAAGGTCCGCGCCGCCTTCTCTCCGCCGCCCTCACAGCCCGCCGCTCTTCTACTCCCCACTCTCTCGCCCGCACACATGCCCGTGCTTCTCCCCACGCCTCCCCTCTCCTCGCCCCTCCGCAGGTCATGGGCGACGTCTACGCCTCTCTCTTCGGCACGATCGTCATCCGCCACCGCTCCGTGCCAGCCCGACCGGCGGAGCTGGACGGCGAGGTGGTCATCCTCATCGAGAAGGGCGGCGGGCTCGACGGCGCCGGCGCCGAGGCCGAGCTGCGCAGTGCTCTCGGGGCGTTTGAGAACCCGCGCTACGAGGAGGGCCGGTGGCGCGTGCGCTTCCCAACGCACGCGGCGGCGGAGGCGGCGGTGGCGGCAGCTGCAGCAGACGCGTTGCCGGGCGCGATCGCCGTCTTCCTCTTCTACAACGACCGCCCTTACCTCGCTCGCACCGCCACCTGCTCCGCCGTCGCCATCACCGACACCTCCTCCCTCATCAATGCCGACGCCTCCACCGCCACCACCGCCACTTTTCAAGGCCCTCTACGTGGCTTTTGACCTCTCCGTACCGAGTAGCTGGTCGTGGACAGAGGGCCTTGAAAGCTTGAAACGCAGCATTGCCGAATCAGCTGCTGCCGGGGTCACCTCCTCGGACGTTGCCATCGAGGAGGCCGAAACAACGAGAGCGCGTCGGCTGCAAGAGGACGGCAGCACAACGCTCCGAGTCTCGATCGCTGCGACCGACGCTGCTCATGCGCCGTCGCACCTCACAATGGCACAATGTGGAGATGGAGCGCACACGTACTCAATTTGCACAACCTAGGCGGAGGAGATCAAGTCCAACCTCAAACCTGCCACAGCGACTGCTGAGGCCGCCAGCGAAGCGTTCGGCATCGATGTGGAGGTGTCTCGGCCTTGCCCCACCACACACTCAAGGGGCTCCTATCAACCGGCGCACTTCTGAGTACGCCCGTGTGCAGGATGTGACACCCCCAACAGTAGTTCAAACCGTTGTCGAGGGCACGGACGACGACGATGATGATGACGACGACGGCGGCAAAGTCAAAATCAACCACGTCGGGACCTTTGATGTCGAAGTCTTTGCTCCCGTCGTTTCGGTCTTGTGGCTGTACCGCCCACTTCACATTTTGCAGGGTGGAAGTCGAGGCGTTTCAATAGGTCATCGGCCTTGTTAGCCTGCTGTTGCTGGCTTGCCTCTGCTGTTATCTTTATAAGAAGCTGCACGTCGAGGAACGCCCCCCCACCCCCACCCCCTGCTCCCCGTGCACTCTGACTCTACAAAGCCCCCCCTGTGGCAGGTGATGCACGCGCAACGGGCGAACCGGGAGCAGTCAAACTGGCGGGAGGAGATGGCGACGACGCACGTCGCAGTGCCGTCCCTCCGGTCCGAGCGGGCAGCTGAAGGAGGTGGTCCGGACGCTCCGCCGGCCCTCTCCGTTCCCGAGCAGGAGGCAGGGGCTGAGCTCGCCACAGGAGACGAGCTGGATGACGCTATGGTCGGAACAAAAGCGGTGGCGACTGAGGCGGCGGCAGCGGGGACAACGGTTGCGGAGGTTGCGGAGGCGGAGGGTGCGGCGGTGGAGGCTGCGGTGGAGACCTCCGTGGCCGATTCCGTTGCGGTGGCTATCCCTGCGGTCGGAAAGGCCGACGTGGAGACAGACGTGGAGACGGTTGAGGCGGTCGAAGACTCTGCTGCAAAGACCCCTAAGTTCGGAGAGGCCGCGGTGGAGTCCGCGGTGGACGAGGCTGAGATGAAGCCGCCGGCTCCTAAATGACCTAACGACTCGCGACTCGTGGACACACTCACACCACAGCCGATGTTGTTCACTTTTCAGTTGCGGTGGTTTCACTTCATCACTCCACACGACTCGAGCACACATGTACATGCAGAGCAGACGACTAGCGCGCTGCAATTGTCAGATGGCACACACAGATGACCTACACCAGAGCACACACATGCGCCTAATCTGTAATCAAAGCCCCGTTGCGCGACCCGACCGCGGCCCGCCTGCGGCTGCGCATGTTGCTTGTTGGCGAGGGTTGCCCCCCCTTGCCCCACCAGCACCACTCTTTTTGTGCACATCGATGTGTTGCTAAATAAATAAATAAATAACGGACACCTCTCGGCTACTGTGAGATGGGTAAAAAGGAGCAGGTCCCCGGACCCCGCCCTTGAAGCCCCACCTTGCGATCTTTGTGCAGGGTTATATTTGTGGGTGTGATGTGTTGACGTGAGAGAAATTAACACCTTACCTTACCTTACCAACCTACCTGCCGTGAAGCTCCCCGCCGTGTCCGGACAGTCCTGACTGACAGAGACAGTCTTGACAGAGTCTTGACATGAGTCCTGACAGAGTCGGACAGAGTCCTCACAGAGAAGCTCCACACTAAACCGGGGCCCTCAGAGCCGAGCGTTGGCCGACGTCCCCACAAATGCAACGGTAGGAGGATTGACTCACCTCCAGACTACTGAGCAGAGAGATCTGACTCCACCAGGGGAGGTGGCATGGCGGACTGCGGAGAGCAGGCAGGGAAACTACCCTTAGCGCTCCGGAGAGCACCGGTGCAGATGTCATGCCGTGGCCTGCGAGGGGAGCATCGCCAAGGAAACGCGCCCTTTCCGCTGCCGCATCTCAGCCCTCCTACTCGAGCGCGGCGCTGCAGGCGAGGAGGAGCCACGCCGAGGTGACTCCGTCGGGGTAGGCAAAGGTGCGCAGCCGCAGCGCAAGCCTGGCGCGCGGCGCCTTGCACTGCAGCACGCCGGCAGCCCCGGCGGCGGTGGCGAGGTGGCGCGCCATCGCGGCGGGTCTCGCGTGCGTAAAGTGGGCGGGGTAGCCGCGGAAGGTGTGCCTAAGCCCGGCGTGGACATGTCGGGGACGTGTCCTGGACATGCCCGTATGGCGGGTGGGGCAGCCGCGGAAGGGTGTGCCTGAGCAAGACGCGGCACGGACATGTCCTGGACATGTCCTGGACATGCCGGGTGTTAGGTGCTGTGGCCGCTGAAAGGAAGGGAGGTGCCCGGTCGGCATGCAACGCTAGCGAAGTGTCTCGGAAGTGTCTCGGAAGAGTCTCGGAAGTGTCTCGGAAGTGTCTCGGAAGTGTCTCGGAAGTGTCTAGGAAGTGTCTAGGAAGTGTCTAGGAAGCGTCTGTGTGCCCGGTCGGCGTGCAGCGCTTGACGGCGAGCTTGAACTCCGGTGCGCCTGCAGGGCGGTTCAGAGAGGGTTCAGAGAGGGTTCGGAGAAGTCTACGCCGCGTCAGGGTCGCCGGGAGGGAGGGGCACCTGAAAGGTAGCTCAGAGAAGGTTCAGAGAAGGTTCCACCTCTGTCAGGGTTGGCCGGCCGGAGGAAGGGTCGCCAAGTGTGGCGCCGCACTGCGCCTCCAGCTCGTACGAGTGGAGAGCCGGGCCTGGCGTACAACTTCACATGTCACTCACGGCTACTGGACTGCGCCTCCAGCCGCGTAGAGGGCGGGGCCGAGGACTCGAGGGCTCATCTCGGCGCATCTCGGCGCATCTCGGCGCATCTCGGCGCATCTCGGCGCATCTCGGCGCATCTAGTGGTCGGGCCGAGGGTTGACTCGAGGGCGGTGTCCCAAGAGGTCGCGAGGCCGAGCGACGCGCGGTGCGCCTCCAGCCTCCGGCGCAACTGCGCCTCCAACGCAACCTCCCGGCCGACCCTGCCGTCCTGCGACGCCGGGGCCGTCAGCCGCGGCGCCGGTAGCGGCGTGAGGCGCCGCAACAGCGCAGGGTCGATCGCTCTCCAGAGCAGCGGCTCCCCGAGGGCAAGGGAGGAGGAGGAGAGGGCGTCGTCCTCCTGCTCACGGCACGGAGCTGTGAAGAGACGCCGTTCACAGGGGGCGGGGGGGGCGGGAGGAGAGGGAGGTCCGCCTGAAGGTTGGCGTAGAAGGACTCGTGGTTGAACGCGCAGCCGATGGACAGGTAGGGAGAGGCGGCGGGCGAGCACGGCGCGTGGTGATACCTCGCGCCCGAGGCCGGGTCCCAAAAGGTGAAGCTGCCCTGCTCTGCGGCGCTCATCACCCAGACGCGCGGCCCCGCCTCGTCCTTGCCCACGGCGACGTACGCCTCCAGCCCGAAGCCTGTTCACACCCGAAGGCTGTGAACAGAGCTCGCGGCGGCTGCTGTGAAGGCCGTCCAGCCGGAGGCCGAGCAGCAGCGAGCAAAGCAGCACCGCGAGCTCCTCCGCCTCGCCGGCACGCCTCGCCAGCGTCGCGCCCATCGACTGCCACACGTCCGTCCCTCCGACCTGTCAACTAATTACGTTTAATTAACTACTTTGAATCAATCGACTGCCGCACGTCCGTCCCTCCAACCGGCATCGCCCTCTCCCACCGCAGCAGAGAGACAAAGTGCGCAGCCTGCGCCGCGCTCTCCAGCAGCCGGCCGGAGTCGAGCGGCCGCACGAAGCACGTCACTGGCCGCTGCACGCCAAGCTCGCTCAGGGCAAACAGCTTGACCGGCCGGCGGCCAAGGGAGGCGGAGGAGGAGACGTAGTCGGACCACCACGCCTAATTAATTACTTTTAACTCATTCCTTTGAATTAGTTAGAGGAGGAGACGTAGTCGGACCACCGCGCCTTCGCGTAGCTGAAGAAGCGGCGCTCGGCGTCCAGCTCCGCCGCCTATGAATTAAAAGTTAATTACTTTAATTGGTAGCTTTTCATTGACAGCGCGCGGCGTCCAGCTCCGCCGCCCGCTCCGCCTTGAGCTGCGCCTCGACCGCACCCGCCTCGTGCAGCGGCGGAGCGGTAGGTCATCTCTCGGGCTGTCATGGGTGTCTCTCGGTTGTCATGGGTCGTGGGCACGGACACAGAGCACCGCCAGCTCCTCGGCCCCGCCACCCCCTACCTCTCGGCCACATCTCTTCGCACCTCGTGCAGCGGCGGAGCGGGCGGCGCTAGCGGGCCGGGGAGGGGGTGCGGTGCGAGGAGGGAGAGCTGGATCTCGAGGCAGCCGACGGGCAGCTTGGACTGCACGCCTGTTCACAGCTCACCAGTGTGAAGAGGCGCGGTCAGCAAGCTGCGGGTGGGCGGGAAGCGTGGTCTGCACGCCCGCGCCGCTCAGCTCGAGGGAGAGGGAGCAGGCGCCGAGGTGCAGCACCTTGCGCCACTCGAGCAGCAGCGAAGAGACAACCTCTTCCGCCTCCTCCTCCTCCTCCGCCTCCTCCTCCGCCTCCTCCGCCACCGCCTCCGCCGCCTCCGCCTTCCCCCGCCAGCGGCGGCGGGACTGCAGCACCAGCAGGTAGAGCGGCTCGCGCCACGTCAGCAGCGCCTCGGCCTCCGCCGGCAGAGAGAAGACGAACCGGCCGGACAAGGCAGGCTCCGCCACCGCCGCCACTCGCGCGGTCGTGAAGCGCTCCCCGCCCATTTGCACGCAGACGCGCAGGCGGCCGCCGCCCTCCTCAAAGGCGCGGCCGCCGAACAGGCGCACTTGCAGCTGGTAGCCGCCGCCACCCACAGCGAGAGCAGGCGAACCGTCCGACAGCGCTCCCAGCGCCGCCGACTCCACCGAGCCGGGTGACACGTCACAGCCGAGTCCGTCCGCCACAAGAAGAGCACGCAGCTCGTCAAAGACGCCGCGCTCCCGCAGGTGCGCCTTGATCCTCGCGGACAGAGCGCTGTTGCTCGCGGCGGGCATCGTGATTCGAGCGCGCGAACACGGAGAAGAATTTCCGGGGAGTAACCCGAGCCGCATTTTTCTTTCGCGCCTCTGCTCGACGTTCCACGCGATGCCCTCAGCGTCGCTAGCCTCGTACGACGACTCCAACATCTTTGCCAAGATCCTGCGCGGCGAGATCCCGTCCTACAAGATCTTCGAGACGGAGCACGCCCTCGCCATCCTCGACGCCTTCCCGTGCTGCGCTGGGCACTCTCTCCTCATCCCAAAGGCGTGCAGCCGCCGCTCTTGTCAGCCTCCCTGTCACAGCTCGGCCGCTGCCACACCACTCGCCGCTCCCACACCTCCGCCGCTGCCATTCAGCGAACCGTCGCCTAACTGACCCGCACCGTCCGCCGCACCTCTCTCTGCGCCTCCTCCCGCCTCAGCCCGCCTCCTCCCGCCTCCTCCCGCCTCAGCCCGCCTCCCCCCGCCTCCCCCCGCCTCCCCCCGCCTCCCCCCGCCTCCCCCCGCCTCCCCCCGCCAGGCGCCGTGCGTGTCTGTGCTCGACATGGCTCCCGACGTGGCGGCGAGCACGCTCGCCTCGCTGCCGCGCCTCGCTCAGCTCGTCAAGGCGGCGACCGGCGCGCCTGCTGTCAAGGTGCTGCAGAACAGCGGCGCCGAGGCCGGCCAGGTGCCGTCTCTGCCACAGCCGCAAGCTCATTCACGCGTGCCGCTGCGGAGGGCGTCCGCTCATGCCAGCGGCGTGTGGAGCAGGAGGTGTTCCACGCGCACTTCCACGTCGTCCCGCGGTTCGGTAAGGGAGACTCGAGCGAGCCTGGACCGATGCTGCCGGCCGAGGCGGCCGAGGCGACGCTGCCGTCAGAGGAGGGGAGGGGCGCATTGGCGAGCGGTCGCTGGTTGATGACGAGACTCCAAACAGGCGATGCTGAAGAAGATGGAGGCTGCCGCGCCGCCGCCGCAGCCGTTCGAGCGCGTGCTGTCGCAGCTCGACTCTCTGATGGGCGAGATGAAGGCGAGATCGGGACGAGATCGGGACGAGATCGGGACGAGATCGGGACGAGATCGGGACGAGATCGGGACGGAGGTGGAGGCGAGATGAGACGCGGCTGCTGCGGTGGGAGGCAGAGCCGCCTTCCAAAAGACGCGGCGGCCTTCACGCCTTATCCGCCGTGATCACGCCGGACCCGCCGTGAACAGGTCGGCTCCATCCTGCCGCCCGCCGCAGCGGCGCCGCCTCCCTCCTCCGAGACGCGTGCGCGGCAGCAGCCGCCGGCGGGCAAGGGAAGCGGAGGAGGAGGCAAGGGCAACGGAGGCGGCAGCGGAGGAGGCGGAGGAGGAGGAGGAGGCGGGGCGGAGGCGGACCCGGAGAGGGCGGCTGCTGCCAAGGCGGCGGCGGCGGCGGCGGCGGCGACGGAGACGCTGTTCACACACAGAGGGCGGGGTGGTGTGATCAGGCGGCCAAGGCGGCGGCCAAGGCTGCGGCCAAGGCTGCGGCGAAGGAGAAGGCGGCTGCGAAGGGCGGAGGCGGAGGCGGAGGCGGAGGCGGAGGCGGAGGCGGAGGCGGGGGCGGGGGCGGGGGCGGAGGCGGCGCTGGAATCGCGTCAGCCGCGGACGGGCTGTGAACGGCGTCTCTTCTCACAGCGGACGGTGTGAGGTAGACGCGAGGGCGGTGGATGTGTCTTGGCTCGACATCCGCGTCGGCGTCATCACCGCGGCCGAGGCGCGAGAGATGCAGCCGAGATGCAGCCGAGAGGCAGCCGAGATGCAGCCGAGATGAGAGGTCTTTGGGTGGGTGTACGAGGGGTGTACGAGGGGTGTACGAGGGCGGTGGTGTACGAGGGCGGTGGTGTATGAGGGCGGTGGTGCGAGGGCGGTACGGCGCGGCGTCACGGCGCGTGCGGTGAGACCAGGCGCACCCGGAAAGCGACAAGCTCTACATCGAGATTAATTAACTATTAATTACTCACCTAATTAGCTATTAATCAGGCGCACCCGGAAAGCGACAAGCTCTACATCGAGACCATCGACCTCGGCGAGCCGGCCGGGCCGCGCCAGATCCTTTCGGGCGCGCGGGAGATGCAGCCGAGATGCAGCGGAGAGACAGCCGAGATGCAGCGCAGATGCAGCGCAGGTGCAGCCGAGGTGCAGCGTCGCTTCACGGCTCGTGGCGTGCACCAGGCTTGGCGCAGCACTTGCCCATCGACGCGGTGCGCGGCGCGCGCGTGATCATTAGTCACTTAATTAGGTGCTTACAGATGTGATTAATTAATCAGGTGCGCGGCGCGCGCGTGGTTGTGCTTTGCAACTTGGGCAGCAAGAAGCTTGGCGGCGTCGAGTCGCAGGGGATGGTGCTCTGCGCCAAGGGAGAGGGCGGCCTCTGTTTCGTCACCCCGCCCGACGGGTCGGCGCCGGGGGCCAGGGTGAGCTTCGAGGGGTTCGCGGGCGAGCCGGAGCAAAACCCGAAGAAGCTCGCCAAGAAGAAGGTCACGCGCGAAGATGCATCCGCCCGAGAGATGCCGAGAGTTGCTTGGACTAGAATGCGTGAGGCGCGAGCCCGCCCCTGGCGCAGGCGCCGTTCACACCTCGCTCTGTGAACAGGCGTGGGAGACATGCATGCCCGACCTCGCCACCGACGCCGAGGGCGTGGCCTGCTACAAGGGCGTCGCGTTCGCCACAGCCGAAGGCGGCGGCCGCCAGTTGCGCAGCGCTGTGACGGGGCGCCTCTTCACACCTCTGCCTGCGAGCAGGCAAGTGTACCGCCGCCGTCAGGGGCGCGCCGATCAGCTGAGAGGAGCTTCGGAGCGGCGCGGGCTGATGCAAGACCGGGCCAGCGCGGTAAGGTCAGGTAAGGTCAGGTAAACATCTCCACACAGGTGGACCAGCGCGGCTGCGCCCTCGCCCTCCAGTTCCACCCTACAGTGCGCCCACGCCGTGGCAGAGCGCATGCAAACCTAATAAAGTAACGCGAAACGGGAGACGCACAGCGAGGTCACCAAGCGAGGCGCGTGGCGTGTGCGTCACGTTTTTGCAGGTACCACGTGGGTTTTACCTCTCTTTCAAAACATAAACGTACAAAAATAAAACTACGCCGAGGCGACGAAGCGGAAGGCCAAGCCCCAAGGCAGCGGCGTGTGCGACGCCAAAAACTGCGACTTTATGACGTGGGCGGCGAGCACGCGCGGCGGCATCGGGCACGAGGCGGCGACGTGGTTCAACACCAACTTCGACATCAAGGCTGCTAAGACATCCTCCGACAGCGAACGAAGGATGGCGAGTCAGCAGCGAGCGCAAGCGCTTCCTGCAAGTGCACTCGACCATCATCGCGAGGCGCAACGCCGCCATCTTCGACTACAACGCGTGGCCGAAGATGGGCGGCGAGATGCCGCGGGCGCCTCGGGTGCAATACGAATAGGGACGGGCGAGGGAGGAAGGGCGCTGACCACGGGCGACTACGCGCCGAAGGTTCGACGACGACTACTCGCCGCCTGGGTCGTTTGGGGCGCGCGGCTCCGTCGAGGACCAGGCGCGCCCCCTACCCGGCGCGGCGTAGGTCCCACTCTGGCGAAAAGAGGGGAGGCACGGTCGACAGCCCGATCCATCAACTACACTCATCTTCTGGTGCTTAGCCCCGTGCAACAGCGGTCCGGCAGGCTGCCCCCAAGGCCCCCCGGGCCGCTGCGGGTTTGGGAGTTATGCTTAGGCACAGCTTCGGCGATGGCAGCCCCTCTCTGGGGTGTTGCATAGGCGGGGAGTCTCCCCCGCTGGTCTCCTCCTTCCCATTTTTTCTTTTCTTTTGAGAGCAGGACGCCGGGCTTGTCTTGTATGTGCGTGTCGGGCCGGGGTGTGAGCGAGGGGCACGCGCCACGGTTGCCAGCCGTGCCTTCGCGAGAGTCGCCCTCGAGCCGCGTCCCGTCGGCACTACCCTCGAGTGCGTGTCGCCTTGGTTGGCGACACCCACTCGTCGAGGGCAGTCCGGCCGACGGGAGCCTGTCGCGCGCCGGCGACATGGAGTGTCCCTACCCGCCAAGGAGCCCGAATCCCCAAGGCGCGAAGATATCAGCGGCAGCGGAGATGCTGGACGTTGCTGAGGCGGCGGCCACGTTCCTGTACCGGCGGTCCGGCAGCGAGGAGATGGAGCTGTACGTCGCCGGCTCCCTCACCACCGCAAAGATCTCGCTCGCCACGTCGAGCGTCTCGGTGCCACCGCGCCACACGGCTGCCGCCCGCGCTCCCACACCGCCCACGCCCACCACCTTCCGCCTCCCGCCACGAAGCCGTGGCTCGAGGCGGTTCGCCGGGCGAGCCTCGCGCTGCGCGTGCACGGTCGCCTCCCTTGGCGCCGCATTGGCCTCTCCTCCCTCCGCACCGTCCCGCCTTCGCTCCCGCCGCACCCCTCGGGCGCCTCTCGGCTCAGCCTCCCTGTCCCGCCCGCCCGCGGCGGCAGATGCTCTGCTGCGCGCTGGTGCTGCTGCTGCACACGCGCTCGCGCCGCCTCGCCCAGTTCCCCTCCACCGTCACCCTCTGGCGCATCGGCTGCGACCTGCTTCTCTGCTGCCAGCTGATGTGGCTCAACGGCCGGCTGGTGGTGGGGAGCTGGTCGGCTCGCGGGGAGAGGGAGGACGACGGAGTGCAGTACGAGGACGCCGTCGCCACCTGCACGCCCGCCCTCGCCTTCCTCGCCCAGTTCTCGCTCTTCGGCTCGCTCGGCTGGTGCGACTTGTGTTAGAACTTAGTTAGTCATGACTAACCGTTCTCGCTCTTCGGCTCGCTCGGCCGGCACACGCACGGCTCGCCCCTCCTCCTCGACCTCTTTACACCTGCCTCTTCGCACCTGCCTCTTCACGCCTCCCCTGCTCCACCCCCGCCTGTCTGCAGGTACGCTTGCCTCGCCCTCAACCTCTACCTCTCCGTCACGCGCCCCTTCACGCGCCCCGCCGACCGGATGGGCGCACTCCACACCCTGAGCTCTGGCTCGGGTTGAGGAGTCGTCCTCAAGTCACAAACAGTAGCTCCGTGACCAGGCGCCTTCCACACTTGGGTCTGGCTCGGCTCTGCGCTCAGCGGCGCCTTCGCGTCGCTCAACCACGGCTGCCGGCCTCTGTGCGCAGCTGGCGGACGGACGACACGTATTCCTCAGCGATTGCCTGTTTGTGCAGGGTACCGGCCTCTGTACCAGCTCTGCTGGGTCGCAGCGACGCGCGACGGCGAGCTGCGGACGGGAGTCAATTGGGCGCTGCTCGGAGTGTGGGTTGAGACACTTCCTAGACACTTCGTAGACACTTCCTAGACGCTTCCTAGGCGCTGCTCGGAGGGTGGGTTGTGCTGTACCCGATCCTGTCCACCGTCGCCCTGGCCCACTGCGAGTGGCGCGTCAGCGTCGGTCGAGACCCGTGAACGGCGTCTCTTCACGGCTGGGCGCGCTGTGAACAGGCGAGTGGCGCATCAACTTTGGAGGCGACCGCGCCACCGTCGCCTCGCGACTGCGCCCTCGGCTGCTGCAGCTGCGCGCCTCTCGCATCGCCACGGCCGTCTTCTCGGCGTTCTGGCTGTGGATGGGCAAGCTGCACGTGGCCATGCGCTTCATCGGTGGGTAGTCACCTTTCACCGAGCGCGATGCCGAGCGTTAGGCGGGCTCTACGTCTTCATGTACTTTCGGTACGAGATGCGGGGCGTGCGGTACGAGTCGCTGGCCCGCCACGCCTTCGCCGCGTCGCTCGGGCTGCTGGGCAGCTGCGACGCAAACACCTGGCTGCTGACGCGCCCTGCACGAACCTTCTCGGAACCTTCCTCCAGGCACTTGCGACGCCGCCGTCTGGCTGCTGATGCAGCTCGCCGTGAACCGCTCGGCGCTGCTGCATGCCGTCTCGTGGGGCAGGAGACATTTCCTAGACACTCCCTAGACACTTCCTAGACCCTTCCTAGACCCTTCCTAGACCCTTCCTAGAAACGTCCTAGACACTTCCTAGACCCTTCCTAGACACGTCCTAGACACGTCCTAGACACTTCCTAGACCCTTCCTAGACACGTCCTAGACACGTCCTAGACACGTCCTAGACACTTCCTAGACACGTCCTAGACACTTCCTAGACATGTCCTAGACACTTCCTAGACACTTCCTAGACACCTCCTAGACACGTCTCGTGGGGCAGGCGCGAGGCGCGAGGCTAGTTACCTGATTAACAACTAGTACTATTTAAAACAGCTAGTACTAATTAGTGAGCGTCGTGGGGCAGGCGCGAGGCGCGAGGCTAATTAGCTGATTAACAACTTGTGCTAATTAAAACAGCTAGTACTAATTAATGAGTGTCGTGGGGCAGGCGCGAGGCGCGAGGCTCGGAGGCGCTGCACGCTCATGCGGACGACATCTCCGACGCGTTGCGGCGCGAGTTCGTGCGGCATACGATTGTTGGCGTCGTCAGCTCGACGCGCACTGTCAACGCGGAGGCAATCACGGTCAAGAACCCTGCCCGGCTGCCTCCTGCTCCCCACCACCCCGCCGACACTGGCGGCACCACTGCTGCTGCTGCTGCTTCCCTCTCGTGGGTGGTGACTCAATGCCGGTTGGTCAATCCACGACTAGGCGCCAGCTGCTGCTGCTGCTGCTTCCCTCACGAGTAGTTAGTGGATTGACAACGGTCATTGGTTAACCCAGGCGCCACCTGCTGCTGCTGCTGCTTCCCCTGCTGCTGCTGTGGCCAGTGCCCCGAGACCACGCCGCCGCTTCCGCTGATGCCCTCGCCCACCCTTCCGGCGGCGTCGTACTCGGCGAAGCTGCGCCAGCCGCTGCTCGGCGAGAGCACCGCCGTGTCGGACTCGGTGGTCGGCAGTGGGACACGTCTAATTAATTAAATAATTAGCCTAATTATATTAATTAATTAGGTGGTCAGCCGACAGTGGGACACGTCCCGAGCGTCGGTCGAGCCCGAGGCTGCGGAGGGGGAGGGGGTGCTGCACCCGGGCCGGTTCGGCCGCTTCACCACGGAGGCGGGCGGCTTCCACGACCCTTCCTAGACCCTTCCTAGACACTTCCTAGACACCTCCTAGACACCTCCTAGACACCTCCTAGACACTTCCTAGACACTTCCTAGGCGGGCGGCTTCCACGACCCCGCGATCCCGCAACTCTCCCGCTCGCACTTCACCGAGGTGTGGACGCTGCAAGTCGCCTCCGAGGTCTACTTCCAGGACTACGCGCCGATGGTGTGGCAGGCGCTTCCTAGACACCTCCGAGACACCTCCTAGACACTTCCTAGACACTTCCTAGACGCCTCCGAGGTCTACTTCCAGCACCACGCGCCGCTGGCGTGGCAGGCGCTGCGCCAGCTGGTGTACCACGTCTCGTTCAAGTCGTACATCTACTCGCTCGAGGGCGAGGGGCAGCTGGAGCACTTCGTGGACCGGATTAATTAATCGTAATTAATTGATGAGGCTGCCTAATTCATTGATTCACTAGGCAGCTGGAGCACTTCGTGGACCGCATGGTGGGTAACTTCTCAGGAAGTGTCTAGGAAGTGTCTAGGAGATGTCTAGGAGATGTCCCTTGACCGCATGGTGGGTAACTTCTCAGGAAGTGTCTAGGAAGTGTCTAGGAGATGTCTAGGAGATGTCCCTTGACCGCATGGTGGGTAACTTCTCAGAGGGGCGGAGCGGAGGCTTCTTCTTCACGACGGCGGACCGGCGCTACCTCGTCAAGACGATCGGCCGCAAGGAGCGGCGGAGGGGCTGCTCACGGGAGCGAGTCCAGGAGCTGCATTCTCATGGGCTTGCGGTGTGCGAGCTAGGAGCAGCGGAGGCTGCTCAAGATGCTGCCGCGGTACTACGAGTTCCTGCGCACCAACCCGCGCTCCCTCCTCTCCCGCTTCTCCGGCGGACACTGCGTCGACGGTGCACGGCCAGTGTGATCAACCGACCCATTCCTTCCGTGGATGGCCGATTAGGCTGCTATTGCCTGACGATGCACGGCCAGTCGCGCCGTTTTGCGGTGATGGAGAACCTGTTCCACGCCGCCTGTTCATGAGTTATACTGGCCATTAGTACTCGTTAACTGCAGGTGATGGAGAACCTGTTCCACGCCGCCTCCGTCCCCGCCTCGCAGCTCGAGCGCTACGACCTCAAGGGACATCTCCTAGACATTTCCTGACATTCTCCTCGATACTTACGCCTCGCAGCTAGAGCGCAGCCGAGATGCAGCCGAGATGCAGCCGAGATGCAGCCGAGATGCAGCCGAGATGCAGCCGAGATGCAGCCTTGCCAGCTCGATCGCTAACGGTCCCAAACGGCTCTTGGAGCGGCGCCTAATGCCTCGAGATCGCCCGAGATGTCGCGGAGCTCGCCCGCTGAGGCGACCTGCCTAACTAATTTATTAATCTAATTAATTGTGTCGCGGAGCTGCCCGCTGAGGCGACCTGCCTAACTAATTTATTAATCTAATTAATTGTGTCGCGGAGCCCGCCCGCTGAGGCGACCAGCCGCAGCAGCGCCGACATCGTCACTCGGGCACCTCCCACCGCGACCGGCGCCTCTTCACACCTCGTCCGTGCGTTGGAGCAGGCTCTTGGATCGGCCGGTCTGCGCGCCGCGAGTCGGGCACCCGGCTCGACTCGGACCTGCAGCGCAAGCTCCACCTTCCGTCTGCCGAGGCGAGATACAGCCGAGATGCGGCCGAGATGGCTGCCGAGGTGTGAAGAGCGGCTTTTCACAGCGGCTATGTGTGAGCAGGCGGCCCAGCTAGGGTTGCATCTGCAGTTGATTAGTACTAATTAACCATTAACGAGTGCACAGGCGGCCCAGCTGGCGGGGCAGTGCCAGAAGGACTTTGGAGTGAGCTGCGCTCGGCGGCACCTCGGACTCGCCTTCACACCTCCTCGCTGTGAACAGGACGCCGAGTTCCTCCGCTCGCACAACATCATGGTGCGCCCGCTGCTCGCCCAACGACAAGACAAGACAGCAACGAGATAGCATGAAGAGGTGGTGGCGGTAGGACTACTCGCTGCTGGTCGGGATACAGCACGGCTACGGCTCCGTCGACCCGCTCTCGTCGGGCATCCCCCCCCCTCCCCTCCCCTCCCCTCGCCGCCCCGCTCCCCTCCCCTCTTCACAGCCTGCCCCTGTGGACAGGCTCCCTCCCCTCGCTCGCCGCCTCGTACCGCTCCCTCCCCTCGCTGCCCGGCGTGCCGAGCTGCGGAGGACCGCCAAAGGGATCTGTACCGCCCTCGCCTACGCCTCTCTCCGGCCTCCTCTCCCCTCGCCTCCCTGCCTGCCCCCCCCCCCCCCCACCGTATCTCCATCAATGACCCTCCTCCCGGCTCTACTCTGGGACCCCTGTCCAACGGCTCCCTGCCCAACC